CCTCTTTAGCTAAATATGCGGATCCAGTTTTGGACTTTTAGATATAGGCAGAGTAGTTCACTATAGATTGTTTAGAGAAGCGTGCCACTGCCACAAAGGAAACTATGTTAAAGATCTTTCAAGACTGGGCAGAGATTTAAGATCAACGATCATCGTAGATAATTCACCTTCATCTTATTTTATTCCATCCCGAAAATGCAATTCCAATCGATAGTTGGTTTGATGATAAAAATGATAAAGAATTATTAGATCTTCTCCCATTATTAGATGATTTAATGAAAGTTGAAGATGTAAGATTAGTACTAGATGAATCAAGGTAAGTAAACTTATTTAAATTAAATATAAATTGTTTGGTATTAAATATTAATTTTTTTTTTGCATATTTTAGAAATAATTGATAAAAAAAAACAAAACAAAAGTAAAACAAAATAAATCCAATAACAATAATGTATATCTTAAAATACAAATAATAATAAAAACAAAAAAAAAAAAAAAAAAATTAATATCCCCATTTTAATCATAAAAAATATTCAAATCAAATCAACAAAACACAAATATTATAATTACTTTAATATAATAAATTAAATCCATGTAATAATTATTCATTTGATTGAATGATAATAATAACAAAAAAAAAAAATTGCAATATATATTTATTTATTAATGAATAATTATTATTAATAATAATTTTATTAATATATTTTATTCATTTTTTTTTTTAGTTTTGTAAAAATAATAAAAAAGAAAAGAAAATAAAAAATTTTAATTAACAAAAAAAAAAAAAAAACTATTTAGATTTCTTTGTAGTTGTTTAGTTTTTTATAATTATTTATGTACAAAAAAATCGGTTTATTTATTATTTATTAGATGTCTATTTCATCTCTATTATTATTATTATTGCCATTACGATTGTTATTATTTTCATCATGGAACGAAGCGCTTCTCTTACGGGCAAAAGGTGGTGAAAATTGTTTGAATAAATTTTTATATATTGGAGAGTTAACCTTCCACCAATAATAATATTCTATTATATCTTGTAAACTTTTATTTTTTAACTAAAAATAAAATAATTTTATATTAGCAATTTTTAATAATTTTTTTTTTTTGTTAATTACTTACACTAATAGAAATTCTATTAAAATCTTTATTATATAACTTATAGCCCTCGTCAAATAAAGCCATTTCTAAATTTGACCATTTCTCTTTTATACAATCTTTTAAACATGGTTTAATATTTTCAAAAGTTGAAAAATCGATTGAGTCCAGTGCTATATTTATTTGATAGTCATATTCGTGAAGTATATCTAAAATTGAACTATCTGGAATTTTTGAAAACTGTTTTTTAACGGGAACTTTCATTGATTCTAGTGAGTTTGAAATCTCTTCAAGCTTCACTCTTGCCAATCTTAAATATTCATCAATTTGTGATTGAGGTAATCTTGGCTCGTATATTAAAATTGGTGCTTCATGTTCTTCAAATTCTTTATTGTATGGTCTTAATTCTGGCACTCTTGCTTTTTGTGAAAGGACATATTTCACTCTCTTTATTTGTTCTCTTTCATTATCTGACCCATTATCATCTTCCTCTTCTTCGGTATCCTCATCTTTATGGTTATAATATCTATACTTGGTACTATAATGGTATTGAGTATCTTCTTCGAAAACATTATCTTCATTATCTTCATTTTCACTTTCTTCAAAAGGTTTTTCAACTTCATCCTTTACAAAAGGTTCCTCTTCATCTATATCCACCTCTTCTTCTTGACCATCTTCTTCCTCTTCTTCTATATCCACCTCCTCTTCCTCTTGTATGTGTGGTAAATTTTGTTTTTTATTTGTATAACTCTCTTTTTCTCCCTGATATTCCTCTTCAGTGCTCTCTTCATCTTCATCTTTCTCTTGATTTCCTTTACATGATTTATATTGTTATTTATGCTACCATCGCCATTGTTATTTATAATATTTATATTACTATTTATATTGTTTATATTATTTAGGCTATTATTTGCTATTGTTGTTCCTGTGGCCATTTCATTTTTAGATTTTAATGCTTTATAATCTGAAAAATTTGTAATCTTTGAATCTAAATCAAAGAAACCTTGAATATCATCAAAATTTGTTGAAGAAATTTCGCTTGTAAATGGATCATTGAAATTAAACATAAGGTCGCTGTCATCTCTTTTCCTTTTCCCAATTACTGTATTTAATATTTTCTTATTTGTATTTGTTTCGAAATCTATATCGCCAATTTCTAAATCAGAATCGTCAATAGGGAATGGAGATAGTTTATTTTCATCAAAATCTATTTCTTCACTTCCACTTTGATTTGATTTGATATTTTCTGAAACATTATCTTTAATTTCACTTTGATTTTCACTTTCATCATAACTATCTTCACCTTTTTCTTCATCTTCATTTTCTTGTTTATCGAATGAAAATGGGTCGGATTCAATATTATTTCCATTACCTAAACTATCATTATCACTAATGTTATTGTTACTATTATTCTCTTGATTATCTTCATCATCTTGGTTACTATTATTATTTACACTACCATTAACATTATGATTATTATTATTATTATTATTATCATTATTACTACTATTACTATTATTGTTATTGTTATTGTTATTATTATTATTGTTATTGTTATTATTGTTATTATTATTATTATTATTATTATTATTATTACTATTATTATTATTGTTATTGTTATTATTATAACTATTGTCATTGCTATTATCACTACTATTATCTTCTCTATCATTATTTTCATTATTTTCATCATTATAATTTTCATTTGGTGATTCTAGTTGGGATTTATTTATACTATTAAATTTAAATGATTCAGAAACCTCCTCTGATTCATTTTTATTTTTATTAATATTATTTTTCTTTTTCTTATTTTTATTCTTTTTCTTTTTTTGTAAACCACAATCACTTTTTGGAAAATTTATTTCATTATTTCTTATATCTTCTATATTTATTTTTTCGCTTTCTAATTTTTTCTTTCTTTTTTTCATTATCGAACTATATTTTTTGGCCTTATCTGGGTGAATATTCTTTTTTGATACATCTTTGTTAAAATAAAAATATTTGGGTAAGTAATCTTTTTTTTATTTTTATTTTTTTAATTTTATTTTTTTATTTTTATTTTTATTTTTATTTTTATTTTTATTTTTATTTTTATTTTTATTTTTATTTTTATTTTTATTTTTATTTTTATTTTTAAAAAAGGGACAATAGTTTTTTTTTTCTAATTACCATTTTTATTTAAGGATTCTGACGAATTTTTTTTTGACATTTTTTTTTTTTTTACATACAAGAAAAATTTTATTTTTTTATATGGGAAAAATTAAAATTTTTAAAAAAAAAAAAAAAGTATGAGTTAAAAAATAATAAAATGTAAAAAAAATAATAATATAGAGAAAAAAAAAATATATAGATATATATTAAAAGTTATTTGTGATAATATACAAGTTATTTTATTTTATCATCTATTTTGTTATAGTATAATTATTATTAATATAATTGTATTTAACGTAAAATTGTGTAGCAAAAAAAAAAAGCAAAAAAAATTTAAAAGCAAAAAAATTTTAAAACTTTTTAAAAAAAAAAAAAAAAAATTTTTTTTAAAAAATTATAATTTTTTTTAATTTTTATTTTTACAGTGTTTGTCACTTTTTTTGGATTGCAATTTACTATTTTTGAACCTGATTTTATTTTAATTTGCACAATTTAAAAAAAAAAACAAAAAAAAAAAACAATAAAATTAGTATATCCTTAAAAAGAAATTAATTAAATGTTGTTGGTCAAGTTTTTTTTTTTTCCCACAGAAGTTTTTTTGATCATTCTTTTGTGATCAAAAAAAAAAAGATATTTTTATTTTACAAAATTAAAATTAAGGTTTTTTTTTTTTATTTTTTTTATTTTTGAACAATGCAATTTAAACAATTGAAACTATATCATAAAGTTGGGTGAGATTGAGATGAACCATACCAGTACGCATTGGATCGTTCCATTCAAATAATGAACGAGTTAACTGTATTACATAAAAAAACAAAGTTAATAAATTGAATAGAATTTAATTTTACAAAATAATACTTACAGCAACAGTTCCACATAAACTAAGGAATTGGGTGAAAAGAAGACCATAACCAGATGGTGAAATCTTTAAGAATAAATAGTTAACAGTGTGGAATGGTAAATTGAAACCACTTGTCATAAGTGCATTATGAATTTCGTGTGCATCAATTGTACCAGAGAAATTACGGTCATTGGCACAAAATGATCTATAAAGATTATTGATAAATTGATGGAGGGCTGCATATTCATAAAAGTCAATTTGACCACTTCTGTTGCAATCAAAAACTTTGACTAATTTGGACTATTAAAAAATAAAAATTAAAGAGTATTGGATTAATATTTGTCTTTTTTAAAATGATTATTATATATTATTAAAATTTGAGTCAAATTTATATAGTTGATATTTACAGCTGTTTCAATACCTAAATGAGTACCACCAATCATTAAATATTGTAATCTATAAATAGAATAATAAAATAAATTAATAACAGGTTAATAAATCATATGTAGATATATTATTTATATTTACTCTTGAGCTGAGATTTGACCATTTCTAAAAGAAAAAAAAAAAGAAAAAAAAATAATTATTAGTTTTATTGTATAAATATATTACAAGTGATGGTGTATATGTGTTTAAATAATTTCATACCTATTTAAATCGACAGACATAAACCAAGCTTGCATTTCGTATAATTGGGCTTGTTGGATTTGAGTGTATAAACTGTAGTACCAAAAGGTGGTGAATCTTTGTGGTGGTGCAAATGCAAAAGTGGTTGTAGTATGAACAACTGGTTGTGAGTAGTACATCATTTGATTCTAATTAATATTAAAGTTTGAAAAAATAAAATTAATATAAATAAAAATAAAATAAACAAATAAACAAAGTATTTATAAATTATTACAATTGGTTTTTTTTAATTTTGTAAAAATTAAATTTAATAAAAAAAAAAAAAAAAATTTTAATTTTTTTTAAAATTTTTTTTTTTAATAAAAATTATTTTTCAAAAAAAAAAAAATTTGATTTTTTATTTTCCACCCTGCACAAAAATTTTGAAACAAAAAAAACACAAATCAACACAACCATGATTTTTTTTACTTGCACTTTTTGTGATTTTGTTTTATTTAAATTTAAATTTATGTGTATAAAAAAAAAAATTTTTTTTTGTTTTATTTTTTATATTATAAAATATAAATTTTGTATAAATTAAAAAATTTAAAATTTTTCTAAAAGTATTATAATTAAATGCAAAGAGAAATTAAAACAATTAATTTAAAAGAATTATTAATTTTTTTTTTTTAATTTTTTTTTTTTTTTTATATTTTAACCAATATTTTTTTAATTATAAAATATTTCACATTTATGATTCATCATAAGTACCATTTTGGGTTGAATATTAATATGTTAGGGGTCCTAATTACCGATATAAATTAATTTTATCCTTTAAACTAGTTTTGCAAATTAGAAATTAAAATCAGATATTATAATAAATTTTTCAAAAAAAACCATTTTTTAGTTTAAACTCGGGGCGGGGCAGAAAAAAATAATTTCAACAGCTTGCTCGATTAGCTCAGTCGGCAGAGCGTGGTGCTAATAACGCCACGGTCGCAGGTTCGATCCCTGCATCGAGCAATATTTTTTGGTTTTAACCTTTCCAAGAGCAAATCTTCCCAGTGATTTCATTCTGGTAATAATAAAAAAAAAAAAGGAATCTTACCTTTAGACTTCACCCCTATTCATAAAATTTTATAAACAAAATACTATATTTAACATTAATAATGTTTATCACATTATTATTATTTCTTTACTCTAATTTAGGATATATACTATAATATTTTATATTTATTAACCGACAAGTGTTAACATCATATAAATTCTTACTTTTTATAAATTAAGTTTTATCAAATAATTTTAGCACTGTCCAACAGCTTTTTAAAAGCTATTTCAATGTATATTAATTATACACCACAAAACACAGATCAAAAGAATTTAGATCGTATTAAAGATTTTTAATCTTCTATCTTCACTATCTCCAATCTTCACCAATTTGTCTTTCTAAAAGCCAATCCAACTACAAACATCATTCCTACCACCATCTTCAAACATAAAACCAATCATATTAGATTTATCCAACGATTGGAAAGAAATGAAAAATAAGGATTTTCCCCATAATAATTTCAATACTGTTGAAGACATACTCTTGTCAAGCATCTCTATAATTCAAAAAAGTGTTAAAGATATCATTGAACGAGATAACAAACTATCCACTTATGAAAAAAATGGAAACAACATCAATCTCAGATTATATTACCCAAACCACCAAATATCCGATGAACATATAATTCATTTCAGCAAATACACAGATATAGAAAAGATCTCATTCGACAAAAAGAAGAAAACTATCTTTATCTCTCTCTCAAAAGAAAACCTACATAATCTCCTTAATGAAAGAGATACCACCAACAAGATGAACAAGTTCATCACGCACTGTGACGATTACCATATGGTAATTGGAAACATCAACTCATCCAATCAAGACATTGAAAAAGTGTTAAAAGAACAACTTAACCTAAAAATTGACTTCTTCTTTTCTCACATCAAAGTCAACAAAAACAATACCTCCTTTTTCCACCTCATCGAAAGAAAAAACAACTCAATCAAATCAAAGCTACTCCAATCACCATACTATCGTATTAAGATTAAGTCTGCAACAAAATCAAAAAATCATCCTAACAACAAAATCAATCAACTAATCAATGAAGATATACTAGGGGTCTCCACTGATAAAGAAATTGATAACAACATTACCATAATCAATCAATTAATCAAAAAAGATAGGGTCGACTTTAATGATCAAGATGATGATTACAAAGAAACTATTTCTGACAACGAATCTAACAATTCAACTAACACACTAGATAACGAGGAAATATCTAATGACGAAACAAACAAACAAACAAAAAACCAATCACCACAAGATGACAATAAATCATCAACCAGCAAACCCTCAAGAACATCCAGGGTTAACGCACTAAACAACATCTTTACAAGATTAGCTTCACCAACATCCAAAAATAAAACCGCCATAACAAATATGAATACCACCGTAAAAAGTAGCCGTACTCGAAATGTTAGCCAAATATCCACACCAATCAAAAACACTCCGTACCAATCAGGCAGTCCGAAATCACCTGCTATTGAACAAAAATCTAAGAAAAAAAAAACTTCTTAAACTTGATAGGTTGTTTCAACCTTACCCCAACACACCTTACCCCAACACCTGCTTCTTCTTATATTTTAATATAAATAAACACCGTCGCTTACACTAATAATATTTATTATATTATTAAGTAAGCTTTTTTAAAAAAAAAAAAAAAAAAAAAATATTTTAATAAAAAATTGGTTTTTCTGTGTATTTGTTTATAAAAGAAAATATTTATTATAATATTGATTTTCTTCAATAAACGAATTGGAAGGTTGTCCACCAGTAGCTGGTGGTGTATGATATATTATTTCTAGTATTTAAATTATTATAATATATGTAAAAGAATGATATGTAAATAAAAATTAAAATATAAAATATATGTACATTATTATAGAAGAATAGGTGAAAATTTAAAATATAAAATATAAGTGTATTCATTTTATTTATTCTATCAAATGAAATTCATATAATAATTTAAAAAAAAAAATCACTTTAATAGACAATTGTTTTTTTGAATAGTTTTATTTATTTTTATTTTTTTATAATTTTTTATTTTTTTTTAATTTAAAAATATTAAATTTTTTTTTTTGTATTAATAGTTTCATATTAATAATACCTTTAAAATCAAAATATAAAATGATGATGGGCCAGTTTTTACTGCTTAACTACAAAAATTAAGAGAAGAATTACTTAAATAATAATTTTGTTATTTCAATTTAAACTAATTACCTTAAAAAAAAAAAAAAATTATAATTATTTTTTTAAATTCAAAAAATTTTCTTCAAAATTTAATGTTTTTTTAATTTCTCTTGGGTTAATTTTTTTTTTATTTTCTTCAAAATTTAATTTTTTTTCTAACAACCTTTAAATATAATAATTATAACCACACACAGAATTTAGATTCAATTACAAAAACAGATATGGATAAAGAAAATAAAAATGAAATATTATTTTTTTCTGTATGGAGAAACAAGTATCTATTAAGCGAAATTCAAAGACATCATAGGTTATATAGAAAAAATAAAAAAATATATATTTGCGAGTCAATGGATGAACTTAGATACCATCCACATAGAAGATATGCAACAGAAATTATAATTGATATTAATGAACCATTGGAACCACATGGTCAAGTAATACCCTATGGAACAGCCAAATTAAATTTCATTGGTAAATTGGCTAGATTTAATCAACCAATTCAAGCATGCGATATTCCAACAACAGTGACAAGTTTAGAATTTGGTGGGTTTTATTCTCATTGTTTCGATATTAAATCAATTGTCCCACCAAGTGTTACCGAATTAAGACTCGGTAAAAAACAAGAAGTTTCACCAAATTCATTACCACCATCACTTACCCGCTTAATAATGAAACTAGATCAAGATATTACTATTGGAACTTTCCCAAAATCACTAAAATATTTAATGCAATATAAATTCAATAGAACAATTATACCTGGTTCATTTAGTTCAATTGTAGAATTATACCTGGACTTCTTTAATCAACCTTTAAAAGCTGGTGACTTACCTATAACATGTCAAAATATACTTTTCACCAAATTCAATCAACCTCTCCAACCAAATACTCTTCCTCCTGAATTAAAAAAATTAGAATTACATAGGTTTGACCACCCACTATCAGACGGTGTACTTCCAAAATCAATCACTGAACTATATTTATCCCAATTTAATCACCCATTATCCAACTCTCTATCTAAACTCCATTCATTAAAAAATCTCTATTTACCAAATTTTAATCAAGAAATATCGATCGAAACATTCCCATCCTCAATAAATTCATTAGTTTTGTATAATTTTAATCAAGTTATAAAACCAAATGTGCTTCCATCATCAATAACTAATCTCATTTTGAATACATATAACCAACCATTAGAACTACAAGTAATACCACCAAATGTTTCACATTTAGAGCTACGTTCATATAATTGTAATCTTGGTAAACATCTATTCCCAAATACTTTACAACATTTATTTATATCAAACTATTCAAAAGAGTTATTGGAATATGATTTACCTTCATCAATTACAGAACTTTATTTTGAATCGAATATTAGTTATCTTTCAAATCCAATTCGATTTCAAACCAATTCAATTCCACCATTAGTAAAAAAATTAAAACTCCCAAATATCTATTCCCAACCTCTTCAAGTCGGTCTTATACCCAACTCAGTAGTCGAGTTAGAGTTACCTAATCTCTATTCACAACCTCTTCAAGTCGGTGCAATACCCAATTCAGTTACATGTTTAAAACTACCTGAAGTATTTAGTCCTCTTCAAGTAGGGGCATTACCAGAATCTCTCACTAAATTAACCTTTAATTATGGATTTAATCAACCTCTAGACCCAGTTACCATTCCAAAATCTGTTACTCAAATATCACTACCTTATACTTTTACACTCCCAATACCAGACTCTTTATCACATTTAATAAAAAGATTATAAATAAAATAAAAATAATAAAAATTAAAATTCAAAAAACTTGCATCAATATTTTAATATACAAGCTCCTGCTAAATTAACATGCGAGGTTTATTTCGCTGGTCAATCAGTAGCAGGTGTAACAACTTTAAATAATTAGATTAACATCATTAAATTCACATGTCAATCAATTGGTGGATTAACTATTGCAAATTCAATAGCTTGGATTACAACAAGCAACAACTGGATTAACAGCTGATTCAATTGCAAATGGTCATTCAATAACAGGATTAACAACTGCAAATACAATAGTAGCTGGACAAAGTGTAGGTGGTTTTACAACTGCAAATACTTTAGGTTTAACACTATTAAATTCACTAGCCAATCAGTTGGTGGATTAACTACTTCAAATTCAATAGCTGACATAACAACAAGTAAAATAACTGGATTAACTACAAGCTCAATTGAAACAGGTCATTTAATAACTGGTTTAAAAACTTCAAATACAATTGGAGGTGGCCAATCAGTAGCAGGATTAACAACTTTAAATACATTTGGTTTAATTTCGGGTGCAAATTCCGTGGCCAATCAGTAGCAGGTTTAACAACTGCAAATACAATCGGTGGTGGTCATTCAGTAGCAGGTTTAATAACTTCAATTGGATTGACAAAGTGTAGGTGAATTTACTACAAATGGTGCATTGAGTGTTTTCATTTCGGGTGTAAACTCTGTAGCAGGATTAACCACAGCAAATACAATTAGATGCAGTCAATCAGTAGCAGGTGTAACAACTTCAAATTCAATTGGATTAACATCATTGAATACAATAGGTCAATCCGTTGGGGGTCTTACATATATATTTAAATATCGAATTAAAGTCACCTATACAAAGTATAAAAATAATAATAGAATTTACTCAGTAAATCAATAATCAATCTTCAGCTAGTATTAAAACATTTTATAATAATTAATAGTTAAAATCAATATAGTGCTAAACCAAAGGCAGTCCTCGTCAAGTGCTAACAATAACGCCCAAATATCACCAACTTATTATCATATGATTTCTTTATTTCATTCGAATTTTAAAATTTTATTTTCTTTTGGATTTAAATCGTCAGTTAATTTTCAACCAGTTTTATTTTAGCTAATATTTTTAAATAATTTAATATAATTTTATATTTATGTACTTATAATTTTATTTAAAACACCCAATAAATACATAGATAAATTAAAGTTATATGTTAATTATGGAAAAAAAAAAAATTAAATTAATCTTTATTAATTTTTTTTTGAATTTTCAATTTGAATTTATTATTTTGATGTTCATCTACAGAACATATTTTAATTTATTTATAAAAAAAAAAAATAAAAACTAAAATTTTTATCTTTTTATTTTTTAAAAAAAAAAAAAAATTTTATTTATTTTTATAAATTATTAAAATATATATATAAATAAAAAATATATCAATATATTAATATAAAATATATTAATATAAAATATATTTTTTATTTATTAATATAAGTTGATATTTCTATTAAATCACCGGAAAGATAAACAGGGTAAAAACGAATACACAATACAAATAAAAAACTCCCAACAAGTTTTTTAAAACACAAACCAAAACACAATAACACAAAAACAAATAAAAACTTACCGAAAAGTTTAAATATTTGTATACCAAATGAAAACACAAACCAAATATATATATAACACAACAAAAATAAAAAACTCTAAACAAGTTTTTTATTGAAGAAAATAAAAAGCCGAGCATCTGCTAGGCTATTGAATTCCTGATAGCTTTAGATTTCTTAATTAATATTTTTTTTAAAATTTTTTTTATATGCAGCAATGAAATGTAAATATTTTATGGGAATAATTAAACAGTTCTAGCTATTTTTTAATTAATTTTTTTATAAATGAAATTGTGTGTGGTGGGGTTTTAATTAAATTTTTTTTTAAAATTTTTTTTCAAAATTTTTTTTTTTTTTTTTTTTTTTTTCCAATCATTCTTTATAATTTCAAAATAACAGAAACAAATAATAATAATTAAAAAAAAAACTATTAAAAAAAAAAACTTATTAAAGGTGGAGATTATATGGATGAGCCATTAAAAGCAACACAAGCTTACCTCCAATCGGGTTAGAAATTAAAAGAGATTATTGGACACAGTGATTGGTATGAAAAATATAGAAGCTTCAGAAAGTAGCCCACAATAGATACTGCAGCCACTCCTGCCACAGTTGATATGTGTAAAATATTAAAAGAATTGAATAGACTAACTAGTAAACTCGTAAAAGAAGGTTTCCTATTTATACTAATTCAATCAACAAAAAGAACAATTTTTAATCAACCAATAAATAAACAATAAAATAAATAGATTAAATAGATTAATATTTTTATCTAGAAATTTAAATAAATATAAAATTTTTTTATTATTTTTTATCTAGAAATTTTATTTACCTTTGATGGATCATCTAAATCATTATACAACAATTCACCAAAAAATAAATAAATACCAAGTTATTCTACACAAAAACAAAAACACAAAGAAGGACGTTTTTAATGATGGTAGCTATATAGATAGTTGCAGCAGTAACTTATATTTCAAATGGTGTGTTAAGAGCAAAGGATTAAAGTATGGTACTTAGGTTCGAATGTTATCCCGATAATTATAACTCAACTATTTAAAATTAAAAATAAAATAATTTAAAATTTTTAAAATAGTTTTTGGTTTGTAATGTAGATAGGAATATATTAAGTATTTAAGCAAATAATAGGTTATAAAAATATGTATTTATTTATGTTATGATAAAATCTTTTATTTTTGAATTATTTATTTTTTTTTAAATTTTTAATTATTTTATAATTTTTAAAATTTTTATAATTTATATCAAATTCATCTTCAAAATGACATACTATTGAATAATCATTTTTAAAACTTTAAATTATTTAATAAATGGGCATTTACTAAATTCATAAATTATATTTTGGTTTAATTGTATTTTTTATGAATATTATTATCTCTTATTTGTTTTGATTCACCCATTCTTTTCACTCAAAAGATAATAGTCTATTAGTAACAAATTTTTTAACCCATTTAATTATAAATATATTTAATTTACAAAATCAATTAAAAATTTAATTTTTTTTTTTTTAAAAAAAAAATGTTTTTTTATTTATTTTTTATCGCTTTATTCATTATAATAAATCATTCATTACAGCAGTAGTCTTTAAATATTAAAACTTACATAGTAGTTGCCTATTGATTCCAATATTGTAATTGACCAATTTTTTCATTATCATATCTATGGAGACTTTAATTATATTTCAGAATTCAGATGAAATATTGTTCATTGGTTAAGAAAAATTTAGAATTCTATATGTCAACTAATTTTAAGGAATAAAAGTACCTTTTAAATTATTTATAATTTATTAGTAAAAATTAAAATTTTAAAATACTAAAATTATGTGGTATAAATTTTTTTGAATGAATAAAATGAAAATAAAATTTTATTTTTTATAATATTTTGTGTTTTTTATTAAATTAAATTAATCTATAGAAAGTTTATGAACATGAACTCATTTCTAATTATCAATATTCATTCTATTTAATCTTGTAAAGACCTTATGACCCAGAACCATTTCTAATCTCTCGAGTTCTTCCTTAAGATTCACACAAAAGTGACTCGAAAGCTTGCTTCTTTAAAACCTGTGTTCATTTTAAATCAGTGATGATGTTTTCAACCATGATTTGAAATCTGCTTTTGATTCGAATTCTAAAACTTGATTTATTTGAGTTAAAAATCCGAGCGGGGGTGAAAAAAATGATTTCAACAGCTTGCTCGATTAGCTCAGTCGGCAGAGCGTGGTGCTAATAACGCCACGGTCGCAGGTTCGATCCCTGCATCGAGCAATATTTTTAGTTTTTTAAGCTGTTAATCTTTTCAGAGATCTTACATGTAGGATATTCGTTCGACCACTTGGCTATGATTGCTCCCCCAATAATTGTAAGGTACTAAGATCAAATAATTAAATAAAATAAAATTTATATGAAATTTCTTTCCAATCTTTGGATAAATCTAATATGATTGGTTTTATTTTTTTTCTTAGATTTTTGTTCAATAGCAGGTGATTTAGGACTGCCTGATTGGTACGGAGTGTTTTTGATTGGTGGATATTTGGCTAACATTTCGAGTACGGTTACTTTTTGCGGTGGTATTCGTATTTATGAAAAAAATGGAAAAAACATATGTTAATAATTTACACGATCTTCAAGATGGATTGGTCATACTTCAAATACTCCAAGATTGAGCCAGGTTTAGTTAATTGGAACGATGTCAACATGAACCCATTAAATTCCTATATGGCTTTAGAAAATTTCAACTATTGTTCAGTCAATTGAAAAAAAGATTCATTTCACATTAATTGGTATTGTTTGCAAAACATTCATGAAAGTAATCGTAAATTAACATTATCTTTTTTATGGCAAGCTTGTAAATACATTTCACTCTTAAAATGCAAAATGACCAACCATTTCTCGAAACTGATATCATTCACTGGGTAATAAACAAGTCTCTGAGCATGGTAAAGCCTCAATAAATAATTCAATGATTAATCTATTTCTGATGGTAAGTTTCTAGCTCAAAATATCACAATAATTCATCTCAGTCTTTCAAATAATTAAAATAAAAAATTAAAATTAAATAAATAATATTTAATTTTTTTTTTTATTAATTTTTTTCTTATGATTATTAATTTTTTTTTTTATAAAAAAAAAATGAAAATTACTATTAAAATTTTTTTTTGTTTAAATTGAACAGTTGGCATCATTATTTTTTTTTTTGAATGATTCAGATTGCAATGGGTTCTAAAATTGGTAATTTTGATTTTTATTTAATTAAAAAAAATAAAAATTTATTAATTCATTTCCCAAACATATTAGCCACTTTTTATAATAAAAAAGTGTGTGGTGGGGTTATAATTTAATTTTTTTTAATTTTTTTTTATATTTTTTAAATTAAAATTTTTTTTTATTTGGTGAATGTGTTTAAAAAATAAACGGATGATCACTACTTTTATGATAGCTACAGATTAATAATTTAAAAGAATGTACAAAAAAGGGAATACCGAGTTTGAATCTAATCTATTATATTTACAAAAGGAAATTATTAAACTTTTTATTATTATTAATTAAATTTTTTTTTTATTATTTTTTCAAAATCAATTTTTTTCCTCTATATAAATTAATTTTTTTTTCTAATTTAGTTTTTTTTAATTCAAGCTAGCCATCAAAAGTCCTTTGTAATCAGTCAGCTTAATTTTTCAGCCTCGTTATAGTTATATTTCATATAATCTTATTATTTTAATTTTATATATTTAAATATTTTTTATTATTCCCATTTTACCCTACTCAATTTACAGGTAAATAAAAAAAATGGGCAATTTATTTTCAAAAAAGGTAATTATCTCTCTTATATAACATACATTATAAAAAAAAATATAAATATTAATTATAGCTTTATTTGTATTTAGGTTGTTTTTGAAAATCAAGTTTTAGCTATGGAGGCCAGAATTTCTAATATGGAGTCCAGAATTAATAGTTCTAAAACTCATCTTCATAATAATTATATAAAAATTATTTTTTATTTTATTATTATAGAATTTATATTGGCATATTCTTTATATGACAAAATTTTTTCATCCGACACTTTGTCTGAAAAGGCAATGTGTTTCGTATACTCATTTTTAATTTCAATTGTGTAAGTTGTTCATTATTAATATATATTTTAATTTATTATTGGTATTAACATTTATATTATCATTTTAGATTCTATACTTTTGCAAAATTATATAGATTTACATATTGTAAATTAATATATTTCGATGAAAAAAAATTAAAAAAAGGTAATAAAAATAAAATAGAGACAATAGACAATTAATTTTTTCATTCTAATCAACTATTTGATGAATATCAGACATTGTTCTGGCCAAGCAACTATGGTATCATCGAATAGTTTTTAGATAAAGAAAAAATTTAGTTGGTTCCTATCCGGCGGCTTCCAATAAACCTAAACAACTTACTTGGCACAAGTTCTAGATTTCAGTAAATCCGTTTTGTCTAACTATAAAGTTGTGCATCAATACCCAGATTTCATTATTTTAATAAATGCTGCCTTTATTTTATTTTTATTTAAATTTTTTTAATTAATTAAACCCATAAAATAAAGATAAATTTTTTTTATAAAATTTTTTTTTTGAAAAAATTATTTTTTTTATTTTTTTATTTTTTTATTTTTAGTTTCTTATTTTTTTTTAAAATTTTTTATTTGATATTAAATAAATCATTTTAAACATAAAATGTCAAATAACAATGATTCAAATATTCGGAACTTTTTGTTATGATAAGTAAGGATCAATGATGAATTCCCAAATTTGATTGGAAGCTATACAACTTAATAGCGAAAAAATGTTTTTAGGGTGGGGGAAGCTTCAAATACATTTGTAAGTATCAAACTTTATATATAAACCAATAATAATAATAAATATTAATACTAATACTAATAATAAATTTAGATGTGTTTAATTAGATGGTTAATAGAAACCAAACAAATATACAACAGATAAACTCAAATCAAGGGAATCTGCAGCAATAATTGACTCACTTAAAAACTCAGAAAATGAACAGGTAAATAATGATGTAGACATGGCTAACAATAGGAGCAAAATACTACAAAGAAAGAACCAGCAACAAAGAAATTCACATGGAGCTACTATCAACTTGACAAGTAGCAGTAAAATTTGGAGCTACTATTAATTGTTAACAAAATGTTAGATAAACTCAGCGATGATATCAGGGAATAAGAAATTCCAGTGATATTAGAAAGTATCAACGAAGGAAAAGCACCAGGACAGGATGGAATTGTGGCCACACTCCACAAAAATCACATCAACACACTAATGCCAATATTATTAAAACTATTTAATCACTTCTACACAAATGGAATTGATCCGAAATACAAGCAGGGGTATTAGTACCGATATATAAAAGTGGAGATGCAGAAATAATTTCAAATTACAGACCAATCACACTACAAGATGTACTGTATAAAATATACTCAAAAATAATCAACAATTGGATATTACCAAATAACAGAAAAAATTCTAGCCCAATTTGCATCATGGAAAAATGCAACATCAACACTCAGAGGTAGATTAAACATTTTAAAAACGTACTGCCTGTCACAACTAACATTCCACATGTACATCAACGACATAACAGCGTTAATCGAATTCTCGGACAAATGCACCAGATACATATATAACACAAATTATAAAATGACAATTAGCAGAGAACGCGCAAGAAAAGACTACAAAAAAAGAGGTTTAGGATTATGGGATATAGAAACAAGAGCAGAAGCACAGAAAGCCTGGACATACGAAAGATATACCAGAGCAATCCAACTCAAGAAACTATTATTCCAAATACTATGGTTGGAGAAAGAAAGTGAATATAAAACCAAATGAAAAAGCATGGGTACAACTACCAACTCCTCGAGAAAAAGATATAGAAAAACCCGAAAACAAATCAAACCATTATACAACTCATCCATCAAATTAAAGGAGATATACAGAGACCTATTCGATATAAAACACGAAAATCAGTGGAACGAAAAACACCCAAAGTATACTTGCACCAAAAACCAAACAAGAATTACCGTTTGCCCAAGCCACCAAACTGGATAAACCATTCGAATCAAAAGTTGATTTTAAATCATGGTTAAAAAATAAACATTTTAAATCAGTGGTTTATGATAAAATATATATAATTTTTTTTAAAACAAATAATTTATTTATTTATTTATTTATTTATTTATTTATTTATTTATTTATTTATTTATTTATTTATTTATTGATTTTTTTATTTATTTTTTTATGTATTTTTTTATTTAAACCATAAACCACTGATTTAAAATGTTTATTTTTTAACCATGATTTAAAATCAACTTTTGATTCGAATTCTTTTGACGGAATATCGAATTGTGGACATTTACTACAAAGTGCATATTGACTTTCAACACCTTTTACATTAATTTTGAATTTAAGGAAAGTATCCCAAACTATTGAAGATGATTTATCATTCATTATGTGTATTATTTGATATGGTGTTGGTTGTGAAAAAAAAAAATCTGACAAAATGATAAAAAGACGTTTTAAAAAAAAAAAAATAAAGTTTTTATTATTTATTCATTTTTATTTATTTATTCATTGAGTTATTCGAATGAATCGCGGTCTGTTTCTTAATTTTTTGAATCAACCGCTGGGGGTCGGAGCCTTTTAATAATTAACAATAGTATTAATAAAATAATAAAATAATAAAAATGATAATAATAATGATAATAATAATAATTTTAATGACAATACCTTTTGTTAACCGTCCAGGAGGATCCTGAAAATTAAATATCATCAGCTTGCTCGATTAGCTCAGTCGGCAGAGCGTGGTGCTAATAACGCCACGGTCGCAGGTTCGATCCCTGCATCGAGCAATATTTTTTGATTTACCTTTGTATTTATCTTCCCGGTGATTTAATTATTGGCACTTTTCTAGTTTGTAATCTACGTCATGAAAATTGTTAGAATTAACCAAATACTCTATTGATAAGCTTAATCTTTCTTCCTTTAGATTTTTACCAGGATTTTACTGATTAATTTAAAGCATTTGCTTTTAATTATCTTCACTTTAAAAAAAAAAAAAAAAAAATTTTTTACCAGGATGGCTTAGTGCCTCTTTGTGGTGTGCGAAATTGAAGTCGCCTTATATAAATTTTATTGGTCAGTATATTCGTTTCTTTGATTTAAATAATATGGCACCACCAGTCACCATTTTCGCCATATTATATTAATTATCTTCCCAATTTGTATTTCAAAGTTTACTTATAGAATTTTTTACTTTACAAATGAACAATTTTATATCTGATTTCTTAACTATAATTTAAGTCACCATAGATTTGGTAATGAAAACATTTGACATTTACCAAAAATTAGATACAAAAGGCTACTACTACAAAAAAGATTTAATATTATAAATAAAGAAAAAAAAATTTTAAATTATTTGATATTGGGAAAAAATTAAAAAAAAATAAAAAAATAAAAAAAAAAAATAAAAAAAAAAATGAAAAAGGTAATGAAAAAAAAAAAAAAGATAAATAATTTTTTTAAACAATAGAAATAAATAATTTATGAAATTGCATGATTTGAATAATAATAATTTCTGAATCAGAATGATCTTCATTTTCTTCATTTTCATCATCTTCACTTTCACTACATTCATCACAATTACATGGAATATTTTCATATTCTTCTTCACTTTCCGTTTCATCAACGAAATAATCTTCATCTCTAAGCGGAACCTTTTTTATCTTTAAATTTGTTAGATAAACCAAAATTAAAAACTTCTTTTTATGATTTTTAGAAGTTGAACGCCATGGTACAGTAAGAACTTTCCATTTCTTTATTTTAGCAAAAAAAATTTCGACTATAATTCTACGTACGATGATACGAAGTTGTTTTTATAAAAATTTAATTCATTATCTATTAAAAATAAGATATTAGTATATAATTTTTTAATCAATAAATTAAATAATAATATGTATACTTTATCATTTGTATGTTATAGGGATGTTGATAGCTTTTTGTCTATATCTTCAATTGAATTTCTTCTGGTAATAGTTCTTTTATTTGTTCCATTGATATTTAGTTATTAATATTAAAATTTATAATTTTAAATTTATTAATTTATATATATATTAATTATTTTTTAATTTATTTTTTATTTTTTTAAAATATAATTATTTTTTATATTTTTATATATATTAATAAATTTTGATATTGATATATAAATAAAAATTAAATACTTCAATAAAATTATATAAAATTTATTTATTTTTAATTATAAATTTTGCGCTTAATTATATAACTGCTTTATTGTAATAAAATATATTTAAAAATCCTCTTAACAATATTTATGTATATTTAAAAAAAAAAATTTCTAGAAACAACCACACATTACTATATATATTAATTGATTATGATTTAACTGTTTTTTTATTGATTTTTAAACACCTTTTAAATTAAAAACTTTTTTTTTTGTTTTTAAAACTTAGAAAAATAAAAAAAAAAACTAAAACTTAGAAATTGACTTTAAAAATGGAACTAATCAACCCCGAACTTAGAAACCCCTTTTTTTCAAAAAATAAACTAAATTGCATACCTTAATTTTTGGTGTAAATGAACGATTCAATATTAATTGTACAATCATCTAGGTTAATGGAGTTTGACTTTAATGGACCAATATTTAAATATGTTTGTAATAATCTCGTCTACTATTATATATATATAATATTAAAAGATAAGACATATACAGTGCCCGGATTATATATGTAGACCCCCCAACTTTTATTAAATCATTTATAAAATAAGATCTACCAATAATAATTTTTATATGACGAACCTTACCGCAAATAATAATTAATATTTAAAAATAAATCGATAGGAGTGAGTGTGGGAAAAATAAAAAAATAAAAAAAAAAAATTTCTATTTTTTTTACCACATATATAGTAAATAAACAAAATGAGGTTAAGTGATGAAGTTCCATACTCAATATTATCATATAAAAACATAGGTCACAAGTCGAACTCAAAAATTGAAAAAAAATTGGAGTACATTAATTAACAGTAGTAAAAACATTAGAAATGGTAGAACAAACAGGCACAATCAATGACCGTAAACGTCATGGGAGAAAATAAAGTTTGACGAACTTGATAAAAGTGATTTATGTTTCAATTTTTAAAATAGTAAATTTAACAATATAAAATAAAGTAAAATTTGGTATGAACAAAATAGATTTTGAACAATATCATACAAGTCAGTAAAAATTATATTAAAGAGATATAACATAATATATAAAAAGAAAGTAAAGAATCCTTCATTGATTAGACATAATAGCAGAAAAAAATTTTATTTGAAGTTATGCATATAAATTTTTTTGTGGAATAATGAGAAAATTATATGTTTGTGGATGAAGTAAAGTTCCAATAATATGATAATAACTATGGTAGGTCTTCTTGGGCTTATGACACTAATGTTTTACTAGAATCACGTATCAAGACAAATGTAAGAAAGGGTGGGGTTAATGAAATATTTTTAGGAAATTTTCTTTATTATGGTCCAATTTATTTATTCATTTATCAAATGGATTTTGAACTAAACAATATCTTGATATAATAAAAAATGATACACAAATAAATTTAAAATAATATGCAGATATAAATAAAGTGCCTAAGAGGTTACCAATCATTTGTCATGACAACTGTAGTTCGCATACAACAAAGATAGTGAAACAATATTTAGAAGAAAATAATATACAAGTTTATCCATTACCACCCTACAGTCTAGATATTAATATAGTTAAAAATCTTTGGTCAATTATTAAAGAAAGGGTATCAAAAAAGATGTTTCGTGACCCATCACAAGACCAAGTTCAAGTATGTCAAGAAGAATTTCATTCAATAGAAAAATCAATTATAAAATCATTATATGAATCACTCCCTGACCGAATGGATGCCAATTTAAAAGCACATGGAGGGTATACTAAATATTTAATAATAATAATCATTCATATATAATTGTAAAAAAAAAACAAATAAAAAACAAATAAAATTTTTGAAATTGAAAAAACGGATTAAATATTAAGACCCTATTTTTTTTTTTTTTTATTTTAATTTTTAGCAAATAAACCAATATCTTGTAATATGATTTATTTTAGAGGTCATTATATAAATATTAAATATGATCTATTAATTCAATAATTATCATTTCCATTTTAAAAAAGTTGGGGGGGTCTAAATATAATTATAAACATATATCACATTTATTAGAAATAGACAAACATATATTATTTTATAATTATCAACAAATTTAGACACATTTTTAATTTAAATAATCACACATCTATTATTTTATAATAATCAAATGTTAACACATTTTTAAAATTAAATATTTTTTTAAATTAATTTTATTTTTTTCAGTATAAATTAAAATTCAAAAATAATTTTTAGTCAATAAAATATAATTTTTAAATATTTTTATATATTTATTTTGGTTTTATTATTTATATGTGATTATTTTATTATTTATATGTTTGTGATTATTATAATAAATTTGAATTGATTTTAGAATTGTTGTTATATCACAAAAATTTGTGTGCTTGCTCGATTAGCTTTTTTTTTTTTTTTGCTTTTTAAAAATATATTGGAATGTTTATTCCATTTTATTATTTTATTAATTATAAGACCTAAGTATCTGAATTGACCAGATATTACTTGAAGCAAAATTAAACACACATCTATTATTTTATAATAATCAAATGTTAACACATTTTTAATTTATACTATTTATCTTGTATCAGATCTTATTGTTTCAAAGTCAGTGCAGTCTAATAGTATATGTTTTAATGTTTGTGGTATATCATTATTACAGTTTTTACAGTTTGAGTTAAACTCGGGTTTTAGTAACCTCATTCTTTTCCATGTGTCTAGCCATGGACCATTATTAGTTATTAATTTGTTCATTAATGTATGGAATTTTGATGGTAGATTATCTAATATTTTAAGGTGAATATAAGTATCAGTGTTTTTTATGGTATCAAGTAGTATGATGTTTTGGTGTTTATATTGATTGATTGTGTTAATTCTATTATTTTCATTTAACATTTTAACATATTTTTTTGGGTTCCAAATAACTTTATTGCTATTTTTTTTGGTTCTTTTATATGCAAATGTTGGTGGTATATAATTATTTGAAATTGGTAGGGTTAGTGCTTTTTTTGCTAGCTTATCTGCCAATTATATTTGAGAGAGCTTTAACTTTAATAAAGTTTGTATTTTTTTCATCAAAGTTATCTCTTTTTAGTTTGTATTTAAATAATTTTTTTATAATTTCAAAGAATGGAGTTCCAAAATATTGGATTGGATATGGGTTTTGTATCAGTGATTCAATTATATCAATTGGGACTTGACTATCTGTATTGATGTTTATTTTATGGTTGATTGGATATGATGAAAGAATGTGTGTAGGTGCTGATAATTCGGCTCCTGTTATTGTTTTTGCAGTTCCTTCTATAAAGTTTAAACTTATATTCTCGGATTGGTTATATATACCATAGCCTGCTTTTCTTTTATTGTTAATTTTTTTATAAGAACCATCTGTATAGAAATCAGTAGTTATTTGATTACTTTGTCTTATTAATGGGTTGGGGTATATATTTTTGTAATTGAATTTGTCGTAAGTTGTGATTTTTAAAAGTAAATTCATAAATTCATCTTTTATGTTATTAGTAGAGTTGGTGCAAATTAATCTTTTTAAGATTTTTGAGCATTCATTAGACCATTCTGGTAAATGCTGTATAATGACATTTTTATCTTGTAATTCATATTTATCATTTAGTTTGATTAATAATGAATTATAATTTATATGGGCTTCTTCGTTGGTATATAATATTATTTCACTGTTTGTTATAAAGTTAAGTGGAATATTATTTAAATTTTTTAAAACAGGAATGTTTTGTGATATTTTAAGGTTGTATTTTTTAATTGAATCGAACCATCTTTTAATAAAAGAATAATCATTTTCAATTATTTTACCTTTTAGATATAGTTTATTTTTATCTCCCTTCCAATGTCTATATTTATTTATAATTTGGGTGAAAGATAAAATTGTTTGTTTCTCATTTGTGTTTAGACATTTGCAAAGGTTATGTATTCTGTTCTGATGAATAATATTATTCAAATCGAACAGTTGGTAGCCTAAGTTTTCCTTTTTTAAGTAAAAGAAATTTGATATTGTATTTTTAAAGTAATTACCACTTTTTTTATTGCTCCCAGGATTTCTTTTTTAAAGTTGTCTATGGATGTTTGGGTGTATTTGGTTATGGCAGTACCATATGTAACTATTGGAATTACCATTGAGTTAATTGTGTCAACTAGTTGTGATGTTAATAAACATTTTCTTTTTAAATTGTTTAAAACACCTTTTGCTTTTTTAAATGTTATTTTTTGGTGATCCATCCAATCTAGTTCTAGATTTATGTTAACACCTAAATATTTATATGATTGGTTTAATTTCAATATTGGAAAAGATTTATCTTTCCATTTTAATTCGTATGTGAGATGTTGGTTTAGTTCATTTTGTCTAAATGTATATGCTGATTTTCCAACATTTACATTTAAATAATAATAGTCCAGGAATTCTCCAATGTAATCTTTTAGTTTAGATATTTGTGAAAATGATTCAGTTGTGCCAACCAAGTCGTCAGCAAATGTATTATTTGATATTCCTAAGTTTTGGTTATTAATAATTCTATAACCAATTACATTAGTGTTTAGTAGATTTAATAAAGGATCAAAAAATAGACCCCAAAGAAATGGGGATAATGGATGACCTTGAATAACTCCTTTAGTTATATAAATATCGTCAGTCATACCATGTGGTGTGATAATTTTCATATTATTACCTGATAGAAAATCAGATATAATATCTATTGTTTCTTGTGGGTAACCTCTAAATTCTAATGCTTCGATTAATGCCCAATGTGGTACTTCATCAAAAGCTTTTTGTATGTCAATATATAATACATGAAGTTCTCTTTTATTGATTTTTGAATCTAAAAAGATGTTGTTCAGTACTGATATTGGTGATATTGTTGAACGTCCAGGTCTAAATCCATATTGGGATTCTGAAAAAGGACAATTTAGTTCGGTATAATTTTGTATTAGTTTAGTGAACATTGTAGCGTATAATTTATAAAAGTTACTTAAAATAGTTATACCTCTGTAGTTAGATAATGATTGATTGTTACCATTTTTATAGATTGTGTATATTTTACCTTTTTTCCATGAAGGTGGTATTTTTTTTAAGTTTTTACAACAGTTAAAAATGTTTAGTAAAATAAATAAACCTGATTCAGGTAAATTTTTAATATATTCGTTTAATATTTCATCAACCCCTGCTGCTTTATTATTTGATAATAAAGAAATTGTTGAGGTTAAGTCATTTAAGTTAAAATTATTTAATAATTTTCTTTTGTAAAATTCATTTTTAAACCATTTATCACTACCTCTGAATGGGATTTCGTACCATTTTTGGTTGTTGAGTATTGGTTTTGATTTATTTTGTGGTGATTCATTTAATAAGTTTTTAAAATATTTTTCATATTCTTTTTTTACTAATGTTGGGTTGGAAATTATATTATTGTCAACTGCAACACAGGATGCTTGTTGGTTTGTTTTATATTTATCTTTTTTTATTAAATTATAAAATTCTTTATTCCTTGATCTTTTTAATTTTTCAAGTTTATCTTTGTAGTTTTTAATTGAATCATAATTTGATTCCTTTTTGTTTTTATATAAGTTTTGAATGTACATTTTTTTAATTTCAATTAATGATTTTAATATATTATCTATTAATTGAATATCATTTGTAGAAGGAGATGTACTTAATGTACAGAAATATTTAAAATCAAACCAGTTATCGTTATGGTCTGTTAAGGTATCATTTATTATTGATTGTAGTTTATCAAATTTTGGTAGTAATTTTTTTTTTGTTTTAGAAATTTTTAATTGAATGTCATTTGTTATTTTTGATTTTAGTGAATCAATAATTTGGTAACAATCATGTAGTTTATTAATGATTTTTTTAAAAAATAAATCATTTTTTAAGAATATGTCATTTTTTTCTTTTGGTGGTTTAGTCCATTTTAAATTATTGTTGGCTGAATTTAAAATAGTTTCAGTGAATTTATTTACAAGATTTTGGAGATCAATTAGAGAATTTAAATTTTCTGATTCAGTTTCCAGTTGGATTAGATCAGTTGATAATTGTTTTTTAAATTCACTAAAATCTTGTTGTTCATATGGTAAAAGTTTTTTAATAAAATTTTTATTATTATTTTCGATTGTAGAATTTAGATTTTCATTGTTTATAAAGTTAATGTTAATAGATATTTTAACAGGTTTATGATCACTTGATATTTTTGAATGTGATAAAATTTTATAAGAATTTATTAAATGTCTGTTTTTTATGTCTAATAGATGTGCATCTATTCTTGATTTGATTGTGTAATCATCTCTAATTGTTATACACGTATAGTCTTTGTTAGTGTTAAAATCATGATAAAAGTCCATTAGATTATTATCTTCAAGAAATTTATTATAAGGGACGGTTGAATCATTATTAACGTGATTGTTTAGATTTGATAGTTTATCAAAATTAGGTTGGTAAAATGAATTAAAATCACCGGATAGTATTATAATATTTTCTGGTGATTCTAAATTGAAGTTTGTGTTGATTTTGTTTAAACAATTTTTTAATTTTATATTAAAAAAGTTATTTTTTTTTGATTCTTCTGATTCACCATAGCAATTTAATATGCCCAGTTTGCCATTATCAAATTTGAATGGTAGAAACAGTAATCTACCTTGTGAATCTTTGACGATGTCATTATGGATTAAATTGTTTAGTAAGTTTTTATGAATAATAGTAGCAACACCTGATTGTGCTTTATATGATAATTCTTTATTTTCAAATTTATTTAATATAGATAATTCATCATTATTTAATGAATTTCTAGGTTTAGTATTTAGTGTTGAAATATCATTTTTATAAATATGATCAATTGAAGAAAAGAAGATAGTAAAATCAGTTTTTTCAAATAAGTTATTTAAATTTTTAATTTCATCACGAGTAAATAGTTTAGTTTCTTGTAAACATATAATTTTTATATTCTTTTTTATAGAAAGTTTAATAATATTTTTTATTTTAGTAGTAAAATCGCCGTTAATGTTAAAAGACAATATATTTAAATTTTTAAAATTAATATTTATTTTATTTGTTTTTTGAGTGTTTAAAATAGCAAAATGATCATCAAGAACAGTATTATTGTAATTATTATTATTAATATCTTCCATAATTATTTGTACGATATCTTTTTTTATTTTGGTGGTGGTTTTTGTTGGTGGTGGTTGGCTGTTCAGGTGGATGTATAATGATACCAAAGTCTTTGAATTCGTGCTTTGACTTTCTGTCGAATTTCTTTAGTAAGTTAAAATATTCAATTATTGAATCTTCTATTTTATTGTTTAATAACTTAAACATTTTACTATATGTAAAAAGTCTTCAATATCAGTGTAATTGCATATAATGTTAGGTTTAAATCCAATCTGAGGTTGTGATTGGTATTGGATAATTAGGTTTTTTAATAAATGCGAGCATTCGTTTTCGAATGATTTATTAATAAAGGTGGTAGGTAATGTGGTGGGTAATGTGTTTGGTAGAGTGGTATTGGTGGTAGGAACAAATGAAATTGCAGATATAATTTCATTGTTTAATTTAATTGAACCAATATGGGATAACCATAAATCGAGTTTTAATCGCTTACTTGGGTCAAGAGGATTGTTGCAGATTGAGAACTTGTTAAGTAGAACATGTTGGTCTGCAGTGTAGATGAATGATTCAATATTGATAGTACATTCATCTAAGTTTATGGTGTTTTGGTTTAAATTTGATAGAGGACCATGATTTAAGTAGGTAGATCTTAATGTGAAGTGATGGTTGTTGTTTTTTGTGAAAAATGTATCACAATTAGAGTTGGGGATAACAGATATGATTTTATTAAACAAAGGTAGTATTATTTCCATATTATTGTTTTGAGGTGTTGAAACTTCATATGACAATTGGAATTCTTTTTTTGGTATTGTTAAGTCTTTGTAATGTGGGAGATCTGATGATCCAGTGTTTATTTGACAGTTGTTGTGAAAAAGGAATAGTGATCTTTCTAAACATGAATTAAATTTTAGTGATAGATGTTTGAAAATGATCGATTGGTCAAATTTATCGGTTTGAATGTTGTTTATATGGGTGATGTATTTGAGTGTTGTTGGATTTATTCTTTTTAGTAGAAGTTGTGATAAAATTGCATCAAAATCAGTATAAAGTGATATATTATTTGGTTGTAATCCAAATGGTTCTGGAACTGTGAATTTAAGTTCTAGTATTTCTTTACCAGTTTTGATTTTGATAATGTTTTGATTTGAAAGATTTTTCAGGAAACTGTCTCTTGACAAATCATTTGTGAATGTTGCGATAATTTTATCCTTTGTTTGGTTTACCTCAGGCGCACCAGTATAGTTTTGGATTATGTTGGTTATGTTGTTATGATGTGTAGTTGGTAGTTCAAAAAATAGTATTGGTTCATTATTCTTAATAATATTATTTAAAATTTTTTTTTTAAAATTTGGGTCTGAAATAAATGATGAGTTTGAATGATAATTTTTGTTTTTGTAATTTTGGTTTTTTGAAATGTTAAAAGAGTTGATTGGGTTATGAGATTTATTAAATTTTGGAGTAGTTTTTGGGTGTTCTGTGTGGGTGTTTTGATGAGTATTTGGTGGAGAAAATGGATTTTGGGTAGAATGTTGATTATTTTGTGTTGAGATAATGCTATCAATAGTATCCATGTTGCCATCACCATTAATTTGATTATTATTTGTGGACATTTTGTTTGTGAATTTATAAATAAAAGAGATACAACGATCAGCTAAAGAGATTTCAGTTAGATTCCGTCTACTTAAAAAAGTTTTAAAAAATCAAAGAAAATTTTGGATTTATTTAAAACAGTTAATGAAAGTGTATGTGGTGATATATGTAAATTATATAAAAATAAACAAAAGTGTGTAAAAATAAAATGAATTGTATAAAAAGTGGTAAATAAGGTTAAAAAAATGAATGATGTTGTGATTGGTGGTAATAAATTATAGCTAAAGATATGATAATAATGACTATAATAAAAAAGTATGTGTACACTGGTGGTATGTAAAATTTGTGTATCTATTGGATTCTTAGCTCAGTGGTAGAGTATGCGACTGCAAATCGTTTGGTCACCAGTTCAATCCTGGTAGGGTCCTTTGTTTTTTAACTCTTTATCTTTTGAGTGATATTTTTTTTTTTTTTTTTTTTTTTGCAGAAATTTGACTTCTTATATTGGTTGGGATAAGGTTGAAAAAACCCAATCAGGTAGTCCGAAATCACCTGCTATTGAACAAAAATATAAGAAAAAAATACTTCTTAAACTAGATGGGTTGTTTCAATAATATCTTACCCCAACCCTCACAACTTCTTAAACTAGATAACATCTTTTCTGTTTCATTTGATGATATTATAAAATTAGGAGGCCATTTGATCAATAATAAACTTATGAAGATATTATTCAAATTCTTGCGTAAGATTTTTAATATTTCTATCTCTTTATTTCCCCTCTCCTTTTTTTTTAAAGTTAGAATTTTGAAGAAATTACAACAAAAAAAAAAAATAAGACCTAACCAAATAAATTTAACAAAAAGTTAATTTTATAAACATTTTATTCTTTTTTTGTTAATTTTATAAAACGGTGAAATATAGGATCGATTGAATTTATAGTTTTTGTATTGGTTACTGGAATTTTTATTGTAATATTTAAGTTGTCAATATTCGAGGTGGTAATTATTGGATTCGATCTGTTTTTTAAAATTAAAACTTGTAAATTTGGGAAATAATCTAAATTTAAAATTTTGGTATAGTCTGAATTATTGAATACCAAAGTTTTGATTTTATTGTTTGGGGGTAAACTGGTTTGTTCAATTTCCAAGTTAAATAAAAAATCTAGTTCTAAATACTCTAAATTGGTTTTATCTTTTAGCATTTCAGTAAAATCTGATGCTGATAAGCGGTAAGGTGTTCTAACAACAAGATATTTTAAAAGTGTTGGTGATGATTGGAATTGTTTATAATAGTCAAAGCAATTGAAAATACAGTTTAAAAGGATTGGCTGTTCTAAATATCCTAACGAATAACCTATTTCAAAATATTCTAGTGTTGGGGGTATTGATTCTTTTATCATTTTTTTTTTATATCCATTTCCCAATTTTAGAGTCTTAAGTTGATGAGGTAATACATTAATGCCAATATCTTGATTAAAGTTGCCACCTATTTTTAGATAGGTCAGTGTATTTGGGAATATATTTTCTTCTATTAGAGGATATCCACCATTATTAAATTTTGGGTAGTCTGGATGATACATAGTTAGGTGGACTAGATTTGGTGGAAACATATTGGGTTGTAGTTTTATATCAAAGTCGACATCTAAACTTGTGCAGGAATTGGGTAAAATTGAAATCCCATCAGAGTTTATAAAATTTAAATTTAGTGTTTTGAGTTTAACTAGCCTTGAGGGATACTTGAAAGATTCTGGAAGCTTTTCACAGAATAGATTTAATTTAGTCACAGATTCGGGTATTTGAAAATCATTTGATAATTGATTTTCTTCATAGAAATTATGGGCCAAGGTAAATTTCTCTAAATTGGTTAGGTGTGTTAAATAGTTTGATTTGAGTTCCTTTTTGATTTCTTTATCCCCTAATTCAAACCCAATATAAAGTTCTTTTAGTGTGTTTGGTAATGCATAGTCCTCAATAACTGTACCTCTAGGAAATATAATTGATAGTTTCGTTAAATTTTGAGGAAGCCAACCTTTTTTGATTGTGGAATTGTATGTAATATCTAATTCGCTTATTGTATTGGGAAAAACTATGTTTCGAACGCTCCAAAGATTGCATCCAAAACTAACAAGATTGTTGTGGTTTATTATTTGCTTCATTATTGGTTTCGAAAAGTACCCTGTTATTTTTATTTTATTTAGAGAATTACTTGAATCTTTGGTCAATGGTATAATATTACATTTTTTATATGGACTGAATATTTCTATAGATGTAATATTTGGGGGTAATTGATTTAGATCAAAGGTTTCTTTTATATCGAGTGTAATACAACTAAGGTATTTAATAAATTTAAACTGATAAAATTCTTTAACAGAACCAAAATATCTTGTACCATAAAAAAAATTAAATAGTCTTAAATGTTTTTTGATAATACTATATAAATAGATATTATTAAAAACAATCCTGTATAAAACTCCTATATCTCTAGTCATTTTATTGATATATTTTTTGATTATTTCCAAAATAAATATTTAAAAAAAATCAAAATTTTTTTTTTTTTTAAATTTTTCAATTTATCAAAATTAAATTTTCTTTTTTTTTTTTTTTCATTTTTCAATTTATTTTTTATATTTTAATTTTTTTTATTTCCTGATTTCTTTTTCTTTTGTCAGTAAAATAAACTAAATATTGTTTCACTATCTTTGCTGTAGGCTAACTTCAGTTGTTATGACAAATGATTGGCACCCTCTCAGGCACTTTAGAATATTATGCAGAAAAAAATAAAGTTAGTTGTGTATTGTTTTTTATAATTTCATTAACCCCACCCTTTCCAACACTTGTCTTGATATGTGATTCTTGTAAAACATTAGTGTCATAAGCCCAAGACATGATTATTATCAAATTATTGGAACTTTAGCCATTCATCACCAATACCTATTGTCAACACAAGTTTTTTTTTTTTTTTTTTTTTTTTTTTTTTAAAAAATCTTACTTAATAATATAATTTATATTATTAGTGTAAGAGACGGTATTTTATTAGATAAAATTTATTAAATAGTATGTGTGAGGATTTGTATTGTTATAGGTATTTGATTGGGAAATTGATCAAAGTGGTTTCTGGTAATTTATAAAAGGTTGATATTTTAGATCTAATGGTTTGGATATGGTTTGAATTTATTTGCTTATCTACTTTTAGGAAGCTGTTGTAGTTTGATTGGATCGTTCTTGCATATTCTAGTGAGGCGAGTTTGGTCCATTTGTGTTGGATGTCATTATAGTTTAATGATTTAGCAATTGCATTTGGGTTAATCTCTTTGTTAAATAATTTGGTGCATACCCAAATCCAGACTTGGTGGAAGATAATTGAAATCATATTTCTGTAGGTCGGTGTTCTATCAAGATCGAAATCGAGATCTCTATAGCACCATCGGAATGGTTCATCTTGAGGGTGTATTTGGTAGTCGTATTCGCTGCCACCATAGAATTTATCGAGTTTGGATTGAGGTGTCTTTCGGTAAATCAATGTGTTGGTATTTTTATTATAATTCCATCTGCTATCTTTACCAGTACTTTCATATAGGTATTCTTTTAGTGAATTTATATTAATATATTCTCGAGTTGAATTACAGAATAATAGTAGATGGCCATAAGGGTCATTGTTCATAGGTATATTACACATTGGGCTAAATCAAAAGTACTGGCTGGTGATGTTCTTTTATGTAGAAGATTTATTGGTAGGCATCTTGCTTGGAATCTGAAAAGTGTATTTCTACCTTTTGGATCTTTGAGTTTTAATATATTATTGAATAATTGATCGTAACGGTATCCTCTAATATCCAGGGTAATTTGAAAACATGTTTTTGGAATTTTTTCTGGTAGTTTCAATATATTTAGATATATCTTTTAGCTTTATACCATTATTGTTTGTGTCAATAATCGGATAAAGGTTGTTTGAATGGTTTCCAAAGTATTGTTTCCAGTGTTTCATAAATGAATATAAGAGTGAAGAAGTGTAGTTGTTTCGGTTGATTTGGAATTCCCAGCTGTTTTGATAAGCTGATTCGTAGGAGCCTGTTTTTTTATAAACTAGAAATCTATTGAATAACCAAATTTTTTGGGCATTTTGTCTTTTTTTAATATCCCAGAGGTTCCAACCTCCTTTTTCCATTGGAAAGAGTGATCTTTGGTTTGACATTAGGGATACTGTATTTTTTCCTCCAATTGAGAAACCACCTGAGCTTTTAACGTTGGGGGCTGATAGAAACCAAATAACAAGTTTATCAATTTCTTTCATTTCTTGGTCATTAAAGTCTTCAATATATTGATGATATATAAGTTTGGATAGTGCAAATGACTTAAGTATGTTTATTTTTGTTTTGATTGTTGCGCCTGTTGATTTCCATAATACAAGGGATGCGCGGATGCTTTTAAGGATTTCGGGTAATTTACGTACTATACCTTGGCTATCGAAATAGTAGCCTAGGTATCGTTGAGGTGTGTTAGCAATAGGTATTGGTGATGAATGGGTGCCACAGTCTCCTATAATGATTGAAGTAGATTTATCTATGTTAACTTTTGAGGAGGTTGCTCTGCAAAAGTCCGAAATGTTTTTCAGTATTATAGTTTGTTCGTGGTAGTTAGAAAGAAAGGTAGAGGAATCGTCAGCAAAGCATTGCATTTTTTCTCTTTGATTTGTATTAAGGCACAGTGGTAGACCAGCAATATTCTTATCATTAATAATTGTTCGTGCAAGACATTCAAGTACCAAGATAAATAGGGTTGGAGATAAGGGATCGCCCTGTTTAACACCTCTTTCAATGGGGAACGGATTGGTTTGATGTCCATTGACTTCTATTTTTGCACTTGAACCTGTTAGTAGTCCCATTATTAGATTTATAATATTGTTTGGAATTTGAATATGATGTAAGGTTCTTTTTATTGAATCGTGGGATATTGAATCGAAAGCTTTTTCGAAATCGTAGAATGTGATGATTCCTGGAATTTTGAATTTTTTGAGGAAAGTAATGATATTTTCCATTGTTATAATATGGTCGATAATGAATCTATCTTGTGTAAATCCTTTTTGGTTTCTATTGATAACTTTTGGGAGTATTTTTAATAGTCTATTATTTAACACTTTGGCAAAAATTTTATAAAGGCTGTTGGTGAGTGTTATTGGTCTTCTATTTTTGATTAGAAGTGGATCTCCTTTTTTAGGAAGAGTGATAACTAGGCCTTGTTTAAAAGAATCTGAAATAGTTGAGGGATCTTTAAGAGCATCATTGAACGCTGACTTAAGTATTGGTATTAGATGCTTTTTATGTGTAATAAAAAAGGCGTTTGTAATACCATCTGGTCCGGGGGATTTATGAGGATTTGATGATTTGATAGCATCATTAATTTCTGAATCGGTGAATAGTGAGCCGAGATCAGCCCATGATTCATCTTTTTAAATTATCCAGTTTGCTAGTAGTTTGTTGTGAGTTGTTGAGCAATCTTTTTTTTTTGAGTATAAGTGTTTAAAATATTTTAAGAATTCATTCTCAATTGCTTTTTGATTTTCTATTGTTGTTCCATTATCGTCTTTAATAGCTGTTATTTGGTTTTGCTTCGATCTCTTGTGGAGAATTGATGATAAGTATCTTGATGGTATTTCGCCTTGTGTGTATCTTGTTAGATCATTGTAGAATGTATTTTCAAGTTTCTTAGTTTCAATTATAGAGAAAAGAGTTACTTCAGCTTCATTTGCTAAATCTGGGTGGAGCATTAATTTTTTAAGATTGTTAATTTGAACTTGGGTTCTATTCAGGTATTCCATTTGGTGTCTTTTGTAAAAGACGATGATTTCCTTCATTAGATTTTCTAGGTTTTGGAATTTGAAATTTGATAGATTGACTGGTGTTGATATGGCTTTGAGGTGGGCTTTAAGTAGTGTGATAACACTGTGGGACCTAACCACTAGGGGATTTAGTTTCCACCTTGGCTTTTTAGGAGCTGGTGAACAGTTGATTACTTTGATGGTAGTAGAGAGGATTTTATGATCGGAGTAAGATGTGTATCTAATCTCTAGGTTTTGGCTTGATGGGTTTATTAGTCTTTTGTCTATGTAGATTCTATTTAGTCGTTTATCACCTGAACCATTTCTGTATGAGAAAGTGTTTCTGGTTAGTTTGTAATCTATATCGTGCAGATTGTTGAGATTAACCAGAGACTCTATTAATAAGCTTAGGCTTTCTTCCTTCAGATTTTTATCGGGATGGTTTAGTACCTCTTTGTAATCAGCGCAATTGAAGTCGCCAATGATGATTTGTAGTGGTATCGAATTGTTAATGTTTGTGTTATTATATAGGCTATTATATAGATCAAGCAGTTGGTCAGCAAATTCATTTCTTTGGTTCTTATCTGCTGGTGCATATATTGCGAGTAGTCTTATAGTATTTGATGATATTGTTATATCTGCGATGGTAGCTCTACCAGTGATAATAGCTATTTGTTTGATACTAATTATGTTTGGGTTGTGATTGACGATGGCCACGCCGGTTCCCATTCCATTAACATTTGTTAGTGAACCTTTTTGATCATCGTGGAATTTCGAATAAACTGCGTTTAGTTCATTGAGGATTGTGATATTTGGATGGTTTTTGTTGTTGGGTAATGTATTAACCACGTTTTCATTTTTTAAAGTGTATGTATCTTTGGTACCACAGCCACCGATATTCCACTGGTTGATTTGGAGTGTAACCATTTACTTTGTTTTGGGAGCAGTGAAAGTACTGCTTCTAAAACGAGTTGGTGGTGGATTTGGGACTGCGATGGTAGTAGTGGTTTTTTTTGTTGGTTTTTGTTGTGACTCTTTATTGGCCTCAGTTGGAGTTGACCCGACTGATATTTGGGGATTATTATTTTCAACTGATTTGGCGAAGTTTGGGTCGATGGTGTTTTGTTTTTGTTTTGGATTGAGGAAAGAGTTGGTGTTTTTGGTGAATCTATTGAATCGATGAGAGGAATTGGAGTCACCGGATGGAATATGGTTTTTCTGGTCATCGATTGGATTTGCAATTGGGGCGGGTTTTTGTGTATTTGATGTTGTTTTTTGGACTGTATCATTTGGTACGGCATCAGTGGCATCTTTTGGTTTATTGATGGTGGTGGGTTCTTTTGGGTGTTTTTGAGATTTCTCTCTGTGTAGTATTCTACTGCTACTTCTAACAGTGACTATAACATTTCTATAAGATATTCTGGATGAACTCATGTCTTCACCAATTACCATTTTAGTTATAGGGTCATAGTTGTCAGGGTACATTATAAAGAAGTTTGTGTACTGTCCAAAGTGTTTAATATGATGGAGGGTTGGTTTCATGCCACCCTCACTTGGATTAAGTATTCCGTGCTCCGTTTGTTTGATGAGGTTTTCATCGTTTGTTTTTAACGAGATTGTCATGATGTGATGATCGTGACAAGATAATTTGAAGTTGAGTTTGTATTGGTACCTTAGGTCAATTAGCTTTGGTATTTTGTCTAATGGTATATCAATTTTGATACTATCCTTGTTTTGACCTATGTTTGGAATGGTGCAACAGTCACTTTCAACGATTAGTTTAATGATTTTGCCCTTGATATCTTTTGGGATATCTTTTCCTAGGTAAAGCGATAGTAGATATAGGCCACCGTTTCTTTCACGCGAGGTGAGTTGATTTATTTTGTTGATTGATAGATCAACATTAGACAACAGTTCGTACACGTGTTTCTTCGTTGCTGGGGTGTTGTCATTAATGGGACTGTTGAACTCATCATATATGGTTTCGGATGAGGTAGATGATGAATCAGACATATCGGTAGAGGGCTGGAAATGCGGGATTGATGGGTGATTTTTTAGATTGTAATGTAAAATGTGGGGATAGGATGGAATAACTGTAGATTGAAGGTTAATCTAAAAGATTGTTAAAGATTGAAGATATTAGATTAATGAAGATTTTTGAAGTGTTGTTTCTTTTCAAGGGTAGGTGTTTGCAGTGTGGAAAAGATGTGTTGTTGTTTATCTTTTCGAGATCTGTCGAATGGTGTAAAAATAAGCCTATAGTTTGGTAACTATAAAAGGTTCGAATTTATATGATGTTAACACGAATTCGAACACAAGTTGATTAATTTTATTTTTAAATCACTTGAAAGATAAAATATTAAAAAAGGACCCTACCAGGATTGAACTGGTGACCAAACGATTTGCAGTCGCATACTCTACCACTGAGCTAAGAATCCAATACACAAAAATTAACTACCTCTGGTGAATCAACCCTTTTTTTTTTTTTTTACCAACTTCTCAAAAAAAAGGAGATATACAGAGACCTAATGGATATAAAACATAAAAACCAGTGGAACGAAATGCACCACACCGCTACCCAAAGTATATTAGCACAAAAAATCAAAAAAGAATTACCGTTTGCCCAAGCCAGAAAGCTTATACCAGTAAAGGGGAGAGATCTACTCTGGAGATACTTGCTGAAAGCATTGCCCAAAATTTTCGAATCACAATGCCCGTTCTGTCCAGACAAAGAATCATCAGAACATATATTCTTCAAGTGTCCATCGGTCAATAAACCGGTACAAGAAATAATATATCAAATCTTAAAAGAAGCTCAGTACGATCCTGTAGTATGGGACGAACATCTATTTACCAAATTGGATAAACCATTCCTAGAAAATTTAATAGCAACTATTTTCGAACAAATATGGTACAGAAGAAACAAAAAAAATCATGAACAATTCACATACGATTTAACATATGAAAGAATACTCAAGAGATTCAAGTTAATCTGCGCAGCAGCATGGGGAAGAGAAGTCAAAAATATTAATAGAATATATAAGAAACTTCAAAATCAAGATCCAGCTAGCCAGCGACACCACACAATGAAGATAGTCAACAGGCTAGAGAAGTTTAGCAAGATATGGAATTCAGATATATTTAAAGTGAAAATAACGATACACCTGGAAAGCTACAGAACTCTATCGATGAATTACAAATAAAAATTAAATAACAAAAACTACCAAAAAAAAATTAATCAACAAAAATTAAATAACAAAAATTAAATAATCAAAATTAAATTACTAAAAATTCTTTTAAAAATAAATTAATAAAAGTGGTGTTAACCTTTGCACCATTCATATTGAAGGGGTAAGTCAAAAATTCGTGGTTAGCAAATAATACAAAAAAAATCAACACTTTTTTATTATTGTTATTATTACCATATCTTTAACTATAATTAATTATTATTGTTATTAATAAAATGGTCTAAATTTCTATTATAACTATTATAATTGATAGATATTAATAAGATAGAAATATTTTTATTTTTTTTTATTTTAAAATTGTAAAACTTTTGGTTAAAAAAATTTGCAAATTTTTTTTTGAAATTTTAGGAATTATAATTTTTTTTTTTAAAATATTTTCCTTATAAAAAAAATAATTATAGATAATAAAATAAAAGTTGAAATATGTAATAAATGTTTATTTAATAATTATATTATAACTCTATATAAAAAAGAACTCTGAATTGATAATAATTAAATTGAACCAAATATTAGTGATTAAAAATTATCGTTATCGTATATCTTTTTTGGGCCATCTGGAAGATTTTATAAAAAACGATAAAAATGGATAATCAAAAATAAAAAAACAATAATTCGACTTTTTTGTATTGGTTTTTATTAATTAAAAAAGAAAATAATATTATATTTTATGCAATCATAATTAAAAAAATAAAAAAAAGTTAAAAATTTTAAAGAAATTTAAAAAAAATTTAAATTTATAAAATTAAATAAATTTTTTTTTTTTTTTTTTTTTTTTTTTCATTCAGCTATCATACCAATTTGATTATCATATAATGAACTACCAAATTCTTACTTTATTCCTTTTCTACAAAACATTATAAAATTAATTATAATAAAATAATATAAATGGAAAATGATTTCTTTAAAAGGAAGATGTGTTTAATTTATTTGAAAAATAAAAAATTTTGAAAAAAAAAAACCTCCCCTGTTTCAAATTATTACCAATTTTGATTGTAGCGGATCTACTTTTTTTTTTTGCAATACAAATTTTACTTATTTTGGAATTGATGTTTAAATAAATTAGGAAATAATTATAGATTAATTAATTAATTTTAAATTAAATTTTTTTTTTTTTTTTATTTTTATTAAAAAAACTAAAAAGTATTTAAAGAAAATAATTTCATAAAATTTATTTTTTTTCATTATACACATTCAGGTAAATTCAAATTAAAAAAAAAAAAAAAAAAAAATTTAATATATAAAAAAAAAAAAAAAAAATTTCAAAAAAAAAACACTCACTACATTTCACTTCACACTATTATCAATATGGTTAATTATGTTTTCTGCGTGGTGGGATACATAATTAACCACAAAAAAAAAAACACACACTACACTTCACTTCACACTATTATCAATATGGTTAATTATGTATTCTGCGTGGTGGGATACATAATTAACCATTCGGCTCTAATATACTAACCTCCCCGTGGTAGAGCTGGAAAGTCTCTTTACAAAGAGTGGCCAATAGTATAAAAAATAATTAAAAATATTATCAAAAAATATAGAGGATTTTTAGCATAAAGACATATAAAAGATTTTTTAGCTTTAAAGCTATCTTTTTATTGGATCAAAATAATTATTTTAGATTATTAAAGCATATCATTAAAAAAAAAAAAAAAAAAAAAAAAATTATAATATAAAAAATTTTTATATAAAAAAAAAGAAAAAGAAATAATTTCAAAAATTTTTTTAAAAAATACATTGGATCCAGATGTATCAAATGCCTTTATCATTTTATAATTATTTGTTATTTATTTATTTATTTATTTAGATACCAAACATAAAATAGAATTACATCAAAAAATGCAGTGTGATAATAAAAAATATATCAAATATCTTTGGAGAATTTGGAAATGCATTTGTGGCAAAATAGATGAGAGCAGTCTACTGAGGATAATTTAGTGGCTTTTATTTTGGAAAAACAAATGCAGCATTCCATTTGAACGCTCTCTTCTAATTTTTCTTTTTCTATTCTTTGTTATTCTAATTTTTCTTTTTTATATATATTGCCACATATGCATTTCCAAATGGTTCAAAGATAATAAATCCTGCCCATTATGTAGAAAAAAATATTATTATATTCAAGTAAGTAATTTTGTGTTAATTAATTAGAATGGAGCAAAGATTTACAAATAATATTTATTCAAAGATTCACAAATAATATTTAATCAAATAATATTACGGTGTCTGTTCGGTTTTGGTGATTTTTTTTTGCAAAAAAATTTATAATTTTTTTTAATTTTGATACCAACTAATCAAAAAAACTTTTTTTTTTTTTTTTAAAAGTGAAGATAGAAAAGTTTAATAGCCCAAAAAATCACACAGCCACCCAAAATGTATTAATACAAAAAATCAAAATATATATCACTCAAAAGATAAAGAGTTAAAAAACAAAGGACCCTACCAGGATTGAACTGGTGACCAAACGATTTGCAGTCGCATACTCTACCACTGAGCTAAGAATCCAATAATACACAAAATTTTTAATTTTTTGGAGTTGACTGCCCTTGGTATTCGAAAATTGAATTACATTTTATATTTTAATTAAAATTAAAATTGCAGTTTATACATTATATAATTTGGCTACTGTACTGCTCAATATAAAATAATCAAGATAAATTAAAAAAATTCGTGCCATTCAAATTGAAAGGATAAAACTTAATTAGGTTTTATTTATAAAATTTTAAAATAAAAGGAATTAATAATATTTGAATTTACCCTTGAAGAGGTTAAATTAAATTAATCTATAGATGGTGGAAGCGTCCATGAATATTAAACTATAATTAAAAAAAAAATTTATAAGTAGAGATTTATGTAGTGAATAAATTTTATTTTATTTTATTTTAATTTTATTTATCATTACAAATAAAGGAAAAAGTACGCACATAACTTCTAAATTCGGCTTGAGGAGAATTTGATTTTTGAATATTTGTTAAAAATAATTGCTTGTCGATGGTATTGATGTTTTTATCTTTGAAAAAGCTGGGATCGTTTAAAATTGCGGTGGCGTTTTGTTTTAATTGTTTTGGATAGCCAATACCAAAAGCTAATAAAACATCGGAAAAATGTAATGTGAGAACAGAGAATGGAGACCAACAGATATTCATCAAAATGTTATAAACCAAGAAACATCCATGATTTAAATTACCTTCAAAGACTTGATTCATATTTGGTAAAATTGTTTCCTTAATAATTTGATTATCTAATTTAACTAATGATAAACATGTTGATAAAAATAAACAACAATTTTGTGCTGTTGATTTATCTTTGGTTAAATCTGGAATATTATAAACTATATAAATACAAATTGTTGAAATTATATTTGGCTCTATACATTGTGGCAAGGTCTTTAAAACCTAAAATTATAATAATTAGTATGCTGGTAATGCAGTTTTTAAATTTAGTTAAATAAATAAATGTAATAGTATATTTACTTTTGTTAATAATATTAAATAATCTTTTGTAATATCAGGAGTAATTGTAAAATCTAAACTAAAATCTTGGTTTTGTGATGTTAATAATGAAGATGATGATGTTGAAGATAATGACAATTGATTGTTCTCTTTAAAAGATTTGAGAGTATTTAAAAATATGTTTGAAATTTGAGAAATTGAATTTTTAATATTTTGTATTGTGATAACTGGTAATTTGGGAATTATAATAGCAGAAATAATTTGAAGCAATGATGCAATTGGGTATTGATTAAAAGATTGGGTAGCCTGTTGTAAAATTTCATCAGTAAAATCTATAGCAATTTCTCTTGAGTGTAACATCATGAATCTATAAAACATTGTAATTGAATCGATAATTTCAAAATCTGAACCAAATTGTTTTAAAAGTTTACCTTGTATTGGAATAACCGTTCTAAAGAAAGAGTATAGACAATGGGCATTTGGCTGTTCCATTTGAAATTCATCATACTCTATAATTTCAGTTACAGAGCTCAAGATATTTAAATAAATTGCTAATTGATTTCTATGTTGCTGGGGTTGTGGTTGTTGTTGAATTTCGTTGATGGAATTAACAATTGGATTGATTAATCTTGAAAATGCTTGAGGAATTTCTTTAGCTGGTGCAACTTGCAAAATGTGTAATAATGACTTATATATCTGTACAACATTTGGATTTGATTTTTGATTACCCAATATAAACATTTCGATTTGCTCTAGAATTTGATTAAAATGAGGCCATAACTTTAAAGCGCATTTTGAGCTTATACAAATTGACAACAATGAAGAGGAAGCCGATGATATCAACTCATTGTGTGTAAGGGCTGGTAATAAATCGAATATTACTTTATTCAAGTAATCTGTATTATTTTTTAAAAATGTAGAGTATCTACCAACCAATTTAATTGATGTTCTGATTAGTGGAATTGACTTTATTGGAATTGATGGAATGATTGTTAAAAGTATTGGTACATAATCAATTTGACATTCTTGGGAACCACCTGAAAATGAATAAATATAATAGAGAATTGATTCGTAATATTCCCAGTTTTGATTACATTCGTTAATTGCTTGATTTAATTTATCAATAAGGAATTGTAAGAAAGTTTCTTTTGGAACAATTGAATTATCTTGAATAGAAAGTAAGCAATCTGAAGCAGAGTTTCTAAATTGTTCGATATCGTCATCTAATAAAACATCATTAATCTTGCAAAATACACCATTGCTGCTGGAAAGAGGTGAATTATCACAATTCACAGAACCATCTTCTTTTGGATATGCTGAAATGTCTATAAAACGATTTAATAGTTTTAAAAAGAAAAATTTTAAAACATTTTGGTCTTGTTGAACGAGCATTGTGTGTGTCTTGAAGTCATCGATTAAATAGAACAATAGTGAAATTGTCTCTCTGTTGCCAATCTCTACAAAAGAAATCAAAAGGTTTAAACAACGATGAATCAAATCATTTGTAAAAAGAAGTGTATTATTTGATGATAAAAATTGAATAAATACATTGAAAATTGATTTACTCTTGATATCGTCTTCGTTTTGTATGGCTTCACGATAGAAATTTGGGAATATATTGAGAGAGTTTTCTATTGCATACTTGAATGAATGTATATAACAATTGATTTCGCTATCATTATTACTGCTATTATTTGAATTGAATTGACTTTCGATTGATAATGAAGAACCCTCTAATACTAATGCCAACGAATCGATTAACGGGTAACTAGTTATATTATTCTTTGATACTTTTTTTTGACCAATATTAAATGTAATCTCAAAACAATTTTGGAGCATACTTGCTGATGGTAATAAATATTTTAACCATCCTGATAACGCCTTAAATGAAATCTTTATAAAATCTAAATTCTCTTCAAGTGGTAGTAGTAAAATTGATAATAAGTATTTGTAAACTAAATCTATAATTCTTTTTAATTCTTTTTGGATTTCGCTTTTAATAAAAAAAAATATATTAATATTATTATTTCTTTTTTTTTAAAAAAATATTTTATACACACCTGAAATTACACAAATTTAAATCTTTTTTTTTTAATTCATCAGGTAAAATTGATAAAAACTCTAATACAAGGAGTAATCTTTCTTTGTTAAATCTATTTTGAGAAGGGTCTTGTAGGGAAATTGAATTTAAATCTTGTTGTTGTAGTGATAGATGAATGATATCGAAAATTGCATTCTTCCAAATATCAGGAAAAGTATACATTACTGCAATGGTCAATGAAACAGATATACGTGTAACACAACAAACTGGTAATTTGGTTGGGTTTTGAATTATTCCCACAATTGTATTTAAAATATTAGACTTCATTTCAACTGAACTTTCATTCCATTCCTTTTTTAATTTGCTCTCCAATGTAGATGCACCAAAGTATTGAAGTTCAAAAATACTTGTTTCAAACAATAATCTTGGGCAAAATTCCCATGCACTTGGTTGCTTTTGAAATAAAATTAACCATTTCTCCGCTAATTTTCTTTCATTGGTATCGGTGGATTTGTATAATGCATATAGGGCTTGTGAAATAACTTCCAATGTTGGTGGTGGTTCTAACTTTTCGTCATTATTTGTTACTCCATTACCGTTTAAATGTCCTGGTGGTACTGGACAAAAATTTCCTTGTGTATTGATAGTTGGGGATGTATTATTTAAATTTGTGCCATTTAAAAACCCAAATGCTGTATTATCTAAACTGCTATATGAAGGACAATTTTCATAATCATCCATTTTTACTATTACTATTGTTATATAACACTAATAGATATATATTTATTTATTTATTTAAAATAAATAATAATAATTATTAAAAAACTAAGAAAAAAAAATAAAATAATTTAAAAAAAAAAAAAAAATAATTAAAAAAAAATAAAATAATTTAAAAAAAAAAAAAAAATAATTAAAAAAAAATAAAATAATTTAAAAAAAAAAAAATAATATTTTTTTAATTTTTTTTTTTTAATTTTTTATAAAAAGAACGATTTTGTTTATTCCATTTCCGTATTCCATGTCCTTTTAATTATAATTATTTATATAAAAGGGGAGATTATTTGTTATTTTATCCACCCCTAAGCCCAATTAATAAAACTAAATATTATTATAAAATAACATAAAAAAAAAAATTAATAAACTTAATTAATAAATTCATTTATTTAAAAACAATCATATAGTAACTACCATTCTTCTTAAGAAGAGAACATAGTTAATCTAATTATTACTATTTTTTTCTTTAATTTAATATTTTAAAAAAAAAAAAAATTAAAAAAATTAAATTTTTTTTTTTTTTTTTTTTTTTTTTTTTTTTTTTTTTTCCAATTAAAATTTTTTTTTTTTTTTTTTTTTTTTTTTCATTTTTTTAATTTAATTTTTTTTTGATATCATATCTTTTTTTATAATTTATTTGTTTATTTTTTTATTTTGTATACAAATTTTTTTATACAGAATTAATTTATTGTTTAAATATATTATAATAACTACAGTTAATTTATTATTTATTTTTTTTTTCGGTTGTGTTTTTTTTAATAATAAAATTAATAAAAAAATAGATATAAATATAATATTAAATTAGGGTGGATATTTGATTTGTTTGTATTAATAATGCAGCAAACAATAGTACCATCTCAGCAAACACAACAATCTACATCAATATTTGGAAATGGGTCAAGTATAGGCGGTTCAACTCCAGGAGGCAGTTCAGGATCATCACAACAAAATGAATTGAAGATTAAAAGGGGTTTTAAATTGACTCACCAAAAACTAGTGCTGGATATAGATATTGACAACAAAACTATCGAAGGTTATACAGAAATTATTATACAGCCACAAACTAGAAGATTAAGACAAGAAAAGATTAGATTAAATTGCAGGCAGAGCGAAATTAAACAAGTGCAGGTCAATCAGGTTGATACAACTTTTAAAATGTCGAATTATTTAGAGACCATTGTTGCAAACTCTGAAATTAGAGATATGGAGGCATATCATGCATATACAAAAGCAGCATTACACTCTTCTGATGAAGGTGAGTTATTTATTGATGTTCCACCATCTGTACAATTTTATGAAGGTATTTCAATAACTGTAAGTTTTTTCTTTTTTATTTTTTATATTTTTTCTTCCTAATAGCTATTAACAATATTTTTTTATTTTAACTTTCAGGAATCAAACAATAATCAAAAGAATATAATTCAATTTTCTCCATTAGTTTTAAAAATTCATTTTAAATTAGTTAATCCAATATCAGCATTACAATTTATTCTTCCTGATAAACAAAGTTACCCATTAAGAAAACCACATATGTTTACACTAAGCCAACCAGATGGAGCAAGAATGTGGTTCCCAAGTGTAGATCAAGTAAATGAAAAATGTACCTGGGAATTAGATTTAACAGCAAATTCAAATTTAGTCGTTGTTGCAACTGGACAACTCTTAGAAAAAGTTTGTAATGAGGATGAAACTAAAAACACATTTATTTATAGACAAGATATACCAACTGCGGCAAATGCTATTGGATTTTGTGTTGGTCCATTTGAAATCTATCCAGATCCATATTTGGCCAATGTAACACATTTTTGTTTACCACACAAGTTGACAGAACTTAAACACTCAATTCATTTCTTCCATCAAATCTATCAGTTTTATGAAGAGTATTTGGGTGCATCATTTCCATACAGCTCGTATAAGCAAGTCTTTGTTGAAGATATTCTTCATCAATCAAGCTCTTATGCAACCCTATCCATTTTAAATAGTCATTTACTTCATGGTCCAACTATTATCGATCAAACTTTTGAAACCAGAAAAATTATTGCAAAGGCTTTAACAATTCAATGGTTTGGGTTATATCTTTCTCCAAAAACATGGGCGGATGTTTGGTTATTCTTAGGTTTATCAGGTCATTTAGCAAACCAATTTACTAAAAAACACTTTGGTTTAAACGAATACAGATATCAATTGGTAAAAGAAGAGGAGTTTGTATGTAACATTGATAATGGCGCATATCCACCACTTTGTCACGAACATTATGTGCAACCAAACGATATGTATACAGAATTAGCCCAACGTAAAGCTCCACTTATTATATATATGATTGAAAAAAGAATTAGTGAAGAAGGTTTCAGGAAAGTAATTTACAATTTATTAAATATTCCAATTTCAACACTAATTAGTGGACAACCCGTTCAACCACACCAACAACCTCCTCAACTTCAATTACAAAATGGTGATGCTATGAATATTGATGAAAACAATAATAATAATCAAATTCAACAACAACAACATCAACAGCAGCAACAACTACAAATTGAAACTACAATTCAAACAAAGAAGTTTTTGAAATTAATTAAATCAATGACTGGTCAAGATTTAAAACAGTTTGCAGAGAAATGGATTTATGGTAGAGGTTCACCAAATTTAATATGTGGTTTCAATTTCAACAGAAAGAAATTTCAAACTGAATTTGCATTAAAACAAGTTTTAAATAGACCAGAAGATAAAATATCAAGCTCTCTTATGATCCGTATCACCGAATTGGAGGGTTCTTTTGAACAGGTTATTAATTTTGAAGATGATATGTTTGAATACGATTTTCCATGCCACTCAAGATGTAGAAAAACAAAGAAAAAGAAACTTTTATCTGAAGATGGTGAAGAGATGGAAATTGATTTATCACAAAAAAGAGAAACCCCATTATTATGGTTTAGAATTGACCCAGATCTAGAATGGATTCATAAAATTACTTTTAGACAACCCGAATATATGTGGATTCATCAATTGGAATTAGATAAAGATGTCATTGCTCAAATCGAAGCTATCAAAGGTTTAAAAGATTTCGTTAGTCATAATTCAGTTCGTGCAGTTTTTAAATTTATTCAAAACACTCGTTTCTTTTATAGAGTCCGTTGTGATGCAACATTACTTTTATCCAGACTATCTACCAAAGAAACAAATTTCGAAGGCTTAAATGTTTTGGTTTCATACTTTAAAAATTTATTCTATGACCCTGACAGTAATCAATTAAGATCAAATAATTTTAAAGATTTCAATTCATATTTTATTCAAAAAGCCATTCCACTTTCAATTTCGTTAATCAAAGATAAAGAAGGTAGAACTCCACTAGAATGCATAGAGTTTTTATTAGAACTATTGAAAGATAATGACAATTCACTAAATACTGTAAGTTTAAATTTTTTTTTTTTTTTACGATTATTTTATTAACAAAATTTTTATTTATAAAAAAAAAATTCAAGTATTCTGATTGTTATTATTTAGAAACTTTATTAATTTCACTTTCAAATATTCACACAACAAATGAACAATTAATTAAAAAAATTAGAAAGCAAGTTTCAAGATATCTTAAATATGACCAATTATATCCATCATATAGAAATTGTGTAACAGCAGGTTGTTTAAGAGCATTTTGTCAACTGGAATCACAAAAGCCAAAAGATCAATTTGACTTTTCATTATTTAAGGAATATTCAACATACTCTCACTTTGAAGAGATTAGAAAAATATCATTACAATGTATTTATAGGTTAGCATATCAATTCCAAAAATCGCCAGGTACTGGTTCAATTAATGACTACTTTTTAGATCTCTTCGATAATGAAAACACTATAATGATCAAGCATTTCATTATTGATATGATATCATCTCCACCTCCAAATTTAGACGAAGCCAAATATATCTCAATTTTTAGGGACGATTTAAGACTAATCGACCGTCTATGGTCTTATTTAAACTCTAAAGTTACCGCCTATGACTTTTTGCTTAAATTTAAAATTCAAAAACTTTACAAATTTTTATGGGGTAAAAATACACCAGCTGCTTTCCACAAAAAATTAAAACAAATTAAACAATCCAGCACAGTAATTAAATTAAAACCAAGTAGTAGTAGTTCTAAAAGAGATTCTTATGGCAGTAGTAGACATCATAGAGGTAGTGGCAGCAGTAGTAGCAGCAGTAGTAGCAGCAGCAAAAAGAGAAAAAATGATGATTTATTGCCTAACAATAATTTGGGTAGTACTGATCAACCATTAAAGATTCACGTTAAAGATTTTAATGCTCAACCAAATCAATCAATTGTATCCTCAAACTTACCAACAAACTCATCATCCCATCACCCATCAACTACAATTACTTTGGGTAGCTCAAATGTACATTCTGAAAAAGATAAAGATAAAGATAATTTCCTAGTTCCAGAATCAAAACAAGATATAATATTTAAGAAACTTTTAGAGAAAGATAATGATCCAGATCTTAAAGACTTTTTAGAAATTCAAGATAAAGAAAGAAAACATAGAGAACGTGGTGGTGATAGAAAAAATCGTCATAGTACAGGTGGAAATAATAATTTAAATAATAATGCAAGTGGTAATATTAGCGTCAATAATATGAATATTAATAATAATGGCAATATTGAAACCACAACTACAACAAATTCAGAATCACCATTTAAAGAAGATCGTAACAATCGTAGTACTGAAGTTTCACCATTCAAAGATAAATTAAATGTCGATTCAACAACCACATTTATTCCTTCACGTGAAAAAATTCTTTTAGAAGATGGTGTAGAAATTGATTTAGATTTAGAGAATGATATCGAATTTAAAAAAGATTTAAGCTTATTAGAAGATATTGAAAATCAAGTTGCAAATAAAGAGAAAAGAGATAAATTTAAATCAACTTCCTCCTCTTCAAGAGATCATCACCACCATAGCAGCCACCATAGAAGCGAGCATAGAGACCATAGTAGAGATTCAGATCACCACAATAGAGACTCTTCCCATAGAAAAGATAGAGAATCCTCACACAGAGGCAGCGACCATTCTAATGGTACAGCTAGTATAGTTAGTAATGGTAATGGAAGTAGTAGAGACCATCATCGTGATAAAGACCACCACAGAGAGTCTCATAGAGAACATCGATCTTCTGAAAGGGAGCATCGTTCAGATAGAAGCAAAGAGCATCGTAGTGATAGAGATAAAGAACACCGTAGTGATAGAGATAAAGAACATCGTAGCGATAGAGACAAAGAACATCGTAGTGAAAGAGAAAAAGACCAACACCGTTCAGATAGAAATAAAGAACATCGTAGTGGTGAAAGAGATAAAGAACATCGTAGTGATAGGGATAAAGAACATCGTAGCGATAGAGATAAAGAACATCGTAGTGAAAGAGAAAAAGATCAACATAGAGAGGCTCGTACTAGCATTGGTGAAAGGGAAAAGGACCAAAATAGAGACCACAGAGAAAAAGATCAAAATAGGGATCACAAAGAAAAAGAAGTTAAAGAACCAATAAAAGAAATTGTAAAAGAACAAATCCAACCACCTACACAACCCCAACCACCTGCACAACCCCAACCACCAACACAAATTAAAGAAAAAGATAAAGAAAAAGAAAAGGAAAAATCTAAAGATAGGGAAAAACATGAAAGAGAAAGAGAAAAAGATAAAGAAAAAGAAAAAGAGAAAGAAAAAGAAAAAGAGAAAGAAAAAGAAAAAGGAAAAGAAAGAGATAAAGAAAGAGATAAAGAAAGAGATAAAGAAAGAGATAAAGAAAGGGATAAAGGAAAAGAAAGAGAAAGAGAAAGAGAGAGAGAAAGAGAAAGAGAAAGAGAGAGAGAGAGAAGAGAGAAAGAGAAAGAGAAAGAAAAAGAGAAAGAAAAAGAGAAAGAGAAAGAGAAAGAGAAAGAAAAAGAAAAAGAAAAAGAAAAAGAAAAAGAAAAAGAAAAAGAAAAAGAAAAAGAAAAAGAAAAAGCGGACCAACATTTACCATTCCCACCATCATCAACTATTAATGCAGGTGATACAGTTGGCGAGAGTATGGAGGTCGATATTTTAGATGACCATACACCACTTCCTTCAACCCTAACATCATCAATATCTTCCAATTCAAACTCATCAAGTAATAAACGTGGTCAAATTAAATTCAAAATGTCAAATCCACCAGAATCTGGTTCAAGTTTAAACTCAAGTTCGAATTCCATTACATCGCCATCAGGCTCATCAAAGAAAAGTAAATCATCAAACAAAAGCAAATCTAAACAACAACACCATGAAACAGAGGAGCATAATATAACGACTTCACATCCAACCCCACCACCACCAACTAAACAAGAACCACCCTTACCAAATGAACTTAAACCAACTGAAGCTGGTAAACCCGCTGCTAAATTAGTAATTAAAATTCCATTTAAACCACCAGCACAGGTAACTGAAAAGCCAACACCAACTGAAAAATCAACACCCGAAAATGCTGAAGCCGAAAAGCCAAAGAAAATGATTTTAAAATTCAATTTTAATAAGAAATAACAAAATTTAATATTTTTTTCAAAAAAAAAAAAAGGTAAAATAAATAAAATGTAAATATAAAACAAACTCAATTTTTTGGGTGATTTGATTCATCCCACTTTTTTTGGTTCTCAAATTTTTTTTTTTTTCGTTCCCATCAAACTTTAATGATATTTTCTCCCGAATTTTCAAAATTACAAAAATTTTTAATTTCAAAATAATATAACCCAAAAAACCATTAAGTAACCTGGTTTTTAATAAATATCCAAAAAAAAAAAAATCAAACGGTTTTTTAAAAAAAAAAAAAAAAAATTTTTTTTTTTTTTTTTTTTTTTTTAATTTCTAAATTTTTTTAAATAATTTAGATAAATAAATAAAAATGAAATTATTATTATCATTAATTTTAATTATTGCTTTTGTTGGTTCTTTCATTAATGCAGTTAATGTTAGAGTTCCACAAAAGAATATCAAAGGTGACTATTGTTTAAATGTTCTCAAAGATATTTATGGTTATAACTCTAATTTTACTGCAGTTTCCTCCAACGGTCAAACTGATGCTGGTCAAAATTCATTCTTTGAAAACGGTTACATTTCAATTGATTACGAAAATGAACAAATGTTCGTCGTTTACGATGTTGATCTTCAAGGTAAACAAGTTTCAGGTCAAACTTGGATGTTTAGCAAAAATGTTTGTATTATTTAAAAAATATTATATATATATATATATTAATTTCATACTATTTTAAAACTATTAAATAGCAAACTCAATATGTTTTAGCAGATAACCAATGCTACAAAGTTCCATTCAACGGAGAATTCCCAACAAATTCTGACCTTCAAAGTGTTGGTTTTACAACATTAGGTATGGTTCAAGCTGAAAATCTCCAACCAGTAAACCAAGTCGATGGAACTACCCAAACCCTCACCGTTGATTCAACTTACTGTTCCCCAATGACAATCCAAATTGTCAGTTCAGATAATGGTGTTTCCGGTTATACTATTATGAACTTTAACAACTACAAAGAAACAATTATTAGTTCCGATTTCATTTTACCATCCGAATGCGCAAGTGCATCAACCAGTCTTAAATCTGTTAAATCACACAAAGCTTATCCAGAGCTCTTAAAAAAACTTTTATAAATTATTAAATTAACAATAAAACAAAATTTTTTGAAAATATTTACATTTATTTATTTATTTTTTATTTTTACCATTCTAAACCATCTAAATTGTCTAAATCACCATCGTTATCCAATTTTTTTGATTGACTTTGGTTAATTGTAGAAGCTGTAGATTTGGAGGATTTAGCAACTGAGGGTTGATAGAAAGGAATATCTTCTTCGTCGTCATCCCATCCTTCTTCACCGCTCATAGTAATATTAATTGAATCTTGTGTGTTGAGCTTTTGAATTTCATTTACAATTTCTTCGTTAATTTTGGTTGTGCTGCTTGATGATTGTTTGGTTGGTGTTTTTAATTTTGGTGAGGGAAGTATTTCATCGTCAAAAAATAGTTCTTCATCGACAATTCTATTGTTATTAATTTTATTATCAATACTATTACTTGTTTTATAATTATTGCTATTAGAAATTGATGATTTGATTTCAGAAAATGAATCTAAGCTTAAACTATCTTCTGTAAAAGTTGTTGAATTATATTTTATATTATTGTTACTATTACTATTACTATTATTTTCAATACTTTCTTGTGAAAATTCTAATTGTGATGATAATTGACTAAGTCTGTTTTGTTGTTTTTTTGTTGGTGGTAAAGGTGTATTTTTATATGAGGATTCTTTTTGAACTTGGGTAATTGGGGTCTTTGTTTTAATTTCGTCAATATAAGATACATCTAAATCTTCATCAAGTTCAAGACTATCATTGTTGTTATTTTCTTTGGATTTGTTTGAGTTGCTTTTTAATGGTTCAATAATAAAACATCCATCATCTAAATAATCCAAGTCTTCAAATGGATCCTTGGGTTGATTTTTATTTTTCTCTTTTTCTTTTTGTTCTCTTTTTTCTTGCTCTTCTAATTTCTTTTGCTTTTCAAGTTTTAACTCTAGTTCTCTTTGTCTTGCTTCTTTTTCTTTTTGTAAGTTCAACACTTTTTCTTTTTCCTCCCTTTCTTTTTGTTCTCTTTGTTGTTGCTCTTTTAATTCTTTTTGTCTTAATTCCTCTCTTTGTTGTTTAAGCTTTTCTTCCTGTTGCTGCTTTTCCTTTTCTTTTTGTTCATTTTTCTTCTTTATATTATTTTCTTCATAGTCATCCATTTGTTCATCCATTTGATCTTGCATTTCTATATCATTAAAACCATTTTCAACAAACTCTTCTTCCTGTTCTTGTTCTTGTTCTTGTTCTTGTTCTTGTTCTTGTTCTTGTTCTTGTTCTTGTTCTTGTTCTTGTTCTTGTTCTTCATCTTCATCTTCATCTTCATCCCCATCCTCATCTTCATCATATTCATATTCAGGTTCATCATCATCTTCTAATTGATTTTGTACCCAATTAGGATTTGATCTGTGATTTGATGGATTACGTTTAGAAATTTTTCTGGGAATTGGTTTTGAAACTAAATTTGATAAACCTAGAGCTTTTTTAACTTTATTTTCCAACATTTTATAATCATGTTCGGGGTCGTCTGGGAATATAGAACGTTGTGCATTTAAATTTGCAAAAATACAATTAGATTCGACTGATGATTCTAACATGAAAATGGAAATAATGGCGTCTTGAACTTCAACAGTGTTTCTAAACATTAAACGAGCGTGGGCTTGTGATAAACGAATGAGACTTTCAAGTAATCTAACAGTTGTTCTTGATTCATTGGCTCTCATTACGTTGGCACGTTGTTTTGAATAATATGCTTCAATGAGTTGTTTACTTTCTGGTGTTAGCTTTGGTCTAAAGTTTCCCTTGACATAATAAATATACGATTGCAATAAATCCAAATTCCAAAAATCATCAATATCACTTGGATTTGTAAATGATGAAGTGTTGTTTAGTGTGCTACTACCACTGCTACTAATATTGTTATTGTTTGAAGTAGATGCCATTGCTTGTCTTAAAATAAAGCTAGATACTTCTCTGTCCCAATCTGAATTTTGATCGTCGGTTAATAATAAAATAATGTCGAATCTACTGAGTAATGGTGTTGCTAAACTTGTATTTACGGTGAGAGTTTCATTTTGGTCATATTTTCCCTTTGCATTTGTAGCGGCAATGATACATGTACGAGTATGAAGTCTGCTTATAACACCACCTTTTGCAATTGATAAGCTTTGTTGTTCCATAGCTTCATGAATTGTGGCTCTATCTTTAGTTTTAATGCCGCTAAACTCGTCAATGCAACACACACCACCATCAGCAAGAACTAAAGCCCCTGCTTCGAGTACCATTTCACCACTTCCTGGTTCTTTTACGGATGCAGCGGTGAGACCAGCAGTGGTTGTACCAATACCAGTTGTTAAAACTGCACGTTGTGCAACTTTGGCAGCAAATTTTAAAAATTGAGATTTACCAGTGCCCGGTTCCCCCACTAATAGCAAATGACATTCACCTCTTTTTTTAGTTCCATTCTCTAAATTTTCAATATTTACCCCACCAATTAAAATTAATAATAATGCTAATTTGACAACAAATAAACCAAATACACCAGAACAAATTTGATTGATAATTCTATTTCTGCCAACTAAGGGTTGGTGTTCATGTTGCACCCAAAACTCTTCAAATTGTCTTCTTGTTTCATCGGTCATTGTAGATGAGAATTTTTGCTCGTTCATAACACGCACATAATTTGCTAATAATACCACTTCAATGTCGCAACGCTCATCATTTCTAATGGATCTCCAACGTCTAATAACAATACCACTAACTATAATATCGTCACCAGCTTGACATATATCCACTAAATCCTCTTGAAGTAAAACTACGATTGAACCTGGAATAGAGCCAGCACTAAGTTTATGAATTTGCTCTTGAACTTTGATTTCTTGGTAATCACAATGTTCGCCAACAATATCCAATGGTTTAAAATAAGATGACGGACAGTTAAACTCGTCGTTTGGGCATTTCTTTGGTATGTTGTATTGATTGTATTGTTCAAAGTCGATTGAAACATCGAATTGGTATGAACATTTATTGCATTGGAATTTCTTTGTTTTCTCCAGCACTCTTGGGTGACCTGATCTAATTACAGTTCCTCTAAACTCCACAAATATTCCTACTTCATTCGACCTTGGTAATGATGAATGTGCTATTTCTTTACAAAGTGGTAAATCCGAAACTCTGACCCTAAAATTCTTTTTTAATATATAATGGTATTTAACACTTGACGATGCCTGAGACGGTATTGTATCATTCCTACCATTTTCAATTCTGTTTTCACCAGAGAACTCTCTATCTATAAAATATTTCTGTACCAATATTAATGCTTCGTTAAATATAGGTAATAGTTTAGTTGGTTCTGCTATAAATAATGGTCCAAAATTGACATCACCTTCTAAAATATATGAAAATCTATAGACAATATTAATATTTGAAATCTATATTATGTATAATGGTTTAATAATTTGGGTGCTACATAATACATACTCTACATTTAATGAATAAAATAATGTTGGATCGGGTAAATTAATTACTTGTAAAATTTCTTTTTCATAGTTATTTTTTAATAGTTCAAAAAAAAAATTTAAATATTCTTCTTTTGAAAAACTATCAAACCCATATATAGTATACATTTAATAAATATTTGATTTATTTATAAAAAAATTATTATTTCATTTCAAAAAACAAGTTAATAAAAAAAAATTTTAAAAATTTAAAAAAAAAATAAATAAAAAAAAAAACAAAAAATTCTTAAAAAAATATTTTTTCTTATTAATTAAATAAAAAAATTATTTATTAAATTATAATTATATTTATTAAATAGTATTTTGATTTGCAAAAATTTGTTTATTTTATCAATCATTTATTCTTTTATTAATATTTGAAAGTATGTTTTTTTTAAATTTCAACCATTTGATAAATAATTTTTAGTAAATAAATCATCAAATCTAAAACAAAAGTTATTCAAATGGTTAGTTAATAGAAACCATAGAAAGTAAGTTTAATCTTTTTATTAACAAATAATTATTTATTAATTTTAAACAATAAAATAAATGGTCTAAAAAGAAAAAACCTCAAATTTCAACAATCACTTTTTTATAATGAAGTATTTTATAAAAAAAAAAAAATCAATAAAAATATCCCCCCTTTTAATTTAAATATCTTTTTTTATATAATTTTTTATAAATTTTTATATTTTTTATAATATATTATTTATAACTTATTCCAAAAAAACAATATTTATTAATGTTGGAAAAACTCAAAGATATTTTATTTTTGAAAATTCAAGACAAAAAAAAAAAAAAAAAAAAGAAAAAAAAGAAAAAAATAAATTTTTTAAAAAATTTTCAATTTATTTTTTTTGTTTCAAACTCTCCCACGTCAAATAATGATTTTATTTGAACAATGGATCAATTTAAATGTAATCATAGTTTTTATTTTATAATTTTTATTTTTATATATATTACAATCACAAATTGTGAAGTTCTTTATTTTAATACTTCCATCAATTGTTTCGAACAACAATCGCCGTGTTTATTATCAAATCCATCCAATTGGATAAATAATACATCACCAAAAAATGGTGATGATTTAATAATAGATTTTTCAAATATAAATTATAGTGGTAGTGATAGTAGTAGTAGTAGTAATAGTAATAGTAATAATAGTAATAATAATAGTGATGGTAGTAACAGTAGTAATGACAGTAGTAATGACAGTAGTGATGACAGTAATAATAAATTAAATTATATTTATTTATATATTAATAATACTGAAATAAATTTAAATTCATTAAAAGTTATTGGGTCAAATAATGAGGCAATAGTTTCAATTTTAATAAACAATACACAGATAAATATAAACAATCAAAATATATCAAATATTAGTGATAGTGATATAATATTATTTAATAATTCAATTATAAATATTGATAATAGTACAATTACAATAAACAGTAATAACAACGATAGTAGTATTAATAATTTTCAAATAATTCAGTCAAATATAACATTAAATTTTCAAAGTTTAATAAATTCGAGTTGTAATATACAAATCAACTCAAAATCAAATTTAATAATAGATAGTGGATCTACATTTACAGCTTTAGGAGATTTAAGCTACTCCAATGATTCAATAATACAGAATATTAACCAATCAAATATCCAACTTTATGGTACAGTAAATAATGGTACTTCAATTACCAATTGTGATAATTGGGTATTAATAAATCAATCAACAATTACAATTAATATCCCAAATTTTATAATTTCAAATTTTAGTTGCTATCATAACATAATTAAAAATAATAGTTATAACATTTATTTTTATAATAGCGAACCGTCACCACCACCATCAATAGCATCATTAATAAAAGATACCAATAGTCCATTTTTAAATATAATAAGCGATATAGATTTATATATCTCAAACTCTAATCTTAACTTAATTCAATCCAATAGTTTTAATAGTATAGTATTTTTAGGTTCATTTGGTAATAGTGTAAAATCATTAAACCTACCTAATAGTAATATTATAATCAACTCAAATTCAACTTTAAATATACTGAGTAGTATTGTCTTAAAAGAAAATAGTAATGATAATAGTGATAGCAGCATTAATAATAGTAATAGTAATATCAGTAATAGTAATAATAATAGCAGTTTAATAGGTTCAATATTATTAGAAGGAACATTATCATTGGAGCCAAAAATATATATAACAGTAAATAAATATATAAATATAACGAATAGTTTATCTGTATTAAATATTAACTATGCAAATATAAATGCATTGGTGAATATGACAGCAGGAATGATCCAACAAAATAGTGTAAGCGGTTATACAGCAAGTAATAGTTCAACTTTAACCAAATTATATGTATCAGGCCCTAATAGTATAGTATCAATTCAAAATACAATGGTATTCGAACAGTTAACAATGAGAAATGGATCGACCATGTCACTTACAACTTATATCGATGAAAACTCCTTCCACCCAACTCTTTATATTAAGGGAAACTATTCGATAGAAGACTCTTTTATAAATATTAGTTTCTTTCTTCCAGATTCAGAAATTAAAAACACAACCTCTCAATATGACATAATAGTATTTGCCCTCAATGGGAGCTCCACAGTCGAAAATTCCTCTTCAAATAATGTGAACCTTAATATAAATGCAAATCAAATCAAATTAATAGAAATGGATAACTCTAAAAAAGGTTTCGATTACTCTCTAAAAATAGATAGTTCATCTGTATCTATTGTTGTCTCTTGGCATTTTCCAATCTGGGTATTTATTTTAATCGTTAGTGGTGGAGGTATTGCCGCTTTAACTGTTCTCGGTTTTTTTATTTATAAAATTAGGGAATATATAATTTATAAAGATTATCAAGTTATTGTTTAAAAATAATTATAAATAAAGTTAAAAATAACCAAAGATATATTGGTTATTAAAAGATTGCCATATAAAAGAAAAAAAAAATTCTCATATTAATTTTTTCTATATGCATAAATTATTTAGAGTGAAAGTGTATGGATAGCGACAGCCACAGGTATATGTTTTTTTTATAATTATAATTTTAAAATACAAATTTATTTAATTTTTTTAGAATACATTTTATTAATAAATATATATAATACACTTGTTTAAATAGCTATGTGGATGGGTTTTTCCTTTGGTTTTATAATACATTGCATGGTTTATTAGTTGTAGAAGAAATATTGCTATTTACATTGTTTGATGTCGTTTCCATGGCCATATTACTTTTAGAGACTATTGATTCATTGGATTTTTGTACAATAATATTTTTTGATTTAATGCTACCCATTGATGAAAAAGAATCTAAATTATAAAAAATTAATTAATTTAATGATTTTATATAAAAAACTAAAATTATATAACTTTAACATACTTATAATTGTCATTTTTAAATATATTGTTTATAGATTTAATTTATAATTTTATAATATGATATTAATAAAATCAAAATGGTTCAATATTTATATCTTTTTTTTTTTATTATTTATTTTTTTTTTTTTTTATTAAAAATATTTATTATAATAAAAATTTGATTATATAAAAATTCTACTCATTGTAGATTTATTAATAGTTAAAACAACAAATTAACCTACCTTCCTTTTCTGACAAATCAATAAAAATTAAGAGAAAATTTGAAACAAATATTAAAATTAATTCCTTTTATATAATGAATCATATTTGATTTTGCCCAATAAAAATATTCTTTTTTATTTTTTCTTTTTATTAAAAGATATAAATAATTGATATTAATTTGAATAATAAAAAAGGAAAGAATTATTTGAATTTAAAGAAAAAAAAACAACAAATTGTTTTCTTTTTAACACAACAACAAATCTTAAAAAAAAAATTAAAAAAAACAAACTAAAAAAATGTGAAAAAGGGGTTATAATGATATTTATTAATAGTGGTTGGGTAGATGGATGTTTGTGTGGTTAAATTATTATTATAAAGAAAAAAAAAATTTTTTTTTTAATTTTTGATTTATAATATGAGCTAGGGTTAATAAAATTGTAAAAATTTAAAAATTTCCTTTTAAATCCTGTGTATTGTAATATGTATAAAAAAATGTTAGTAAAACAACTTTTTTTAATAATGGTGTCAGTTATATATTTATATAGACTTTAAATTTAGAGAAAATAATGATTATCATTAAATAAATATTTTTGATAAAATTTTGAAAAAGAGAGCCTGTTATTATTTAGCAATTCCTAATTCATCAGTTGATATTGAAAGATTTTCAAAACAAGTAATCATACTCTCTTATATTAAAAACTATCAATACTTAATAGTACAATGAACAGATTCTTTCAAAATGAAACAATAAATTTTATTTTATTTTATAAAAGCAACAGCTAACAATTCATTTTATTTTTATTTCTTATTTTTTAATTCTATTAATTTATTTTTATATTTATTTTTTATTTTTATTAATTTATTTTTATTATTTTATTTTTATTAATTTATTTTATATAAATAATTATTTTTTCATAGTTGGTTTAAAATATGGTGTTTTTAACCCTAATTCATGACAATGGACATTACATTTATGGGTTTCGAAAAATTTAATAATACCTGGTAAACCTAAATTAGTTGAACCATATTTTAATATATCTCGTGTATGAATTGCAGGATCAGTTAAAAGGAAACATGTTTTACCATCTTTTTTGCTGTTTGTTTTAACTCCTTGAATATCAACAACAATTGCATTACCTTTTGAAATATGATGGGTCCAGTGTGAAAAAGTTTGAGTAATTTCTGAAAATTCATCATCACTTTTGGTATAACCATGATTACTATTGAATTTTTCATATGTACCTTCAATAAATGATTCTACAGAAAGATATATAGGTTCTTCGGAATCTTTAACTACTAAAACTTTTGAAACAGCAAATTTAATATCATCAGATTTTCTTAATGAATTAAACTCTAAAGAAAATTTTCCTGCAACAGTTTGACATTCCATTGATTCAAAATATCTTTTTTTTGAATTATGTTTACTTCCCAAGTATTTAAATTGTTTTAAAACAATTTTTCTCCCATTTTCATCTATTCCAAAATATGCTAAACGGGTGGCACCCTGAGAAAATGGATGTTCTGACATTTTAATTGAAATTGTTTTTGTATTTAATTTCATTTCGTATGTACTTGATAAACAAGCTATAATATCGGTAGGCATCATAAATATTTTTTGTAGCATTGGAACAAATGTTAATTTTGCATAATCAGGTTCTTCTTTTACAATAGTATATTTTCTTATTGTATCAGCTTCACCTTTTTTTAAATAATGTGCTGTTATTTTTGATTTAGTAGTTGAAATTGATTTTTCAATTGACTGAAAAATTTTTTCATTTATAGTTGAAGTATCTTTTGAATCGAATGAACTTATATAAGTTTGATTCCCTGAAATTTCTCTAATTCTTTTATCAAAAATATCAATCATTTTACCAGTATTTAACAAATTAATATGACCAAAATAATAGTTTAATTTTAATCTACTAATATCTTCTAATAAAGAATCTAATAAAATTCCATTTGGATCCCCATCTGGATGATCATCACGGAAATCATGGTATTCTGAACCATGACATGGTGCATCAGCAATATGAATAACTACTCTAGTACTATTTAGTCTCCATGGAACTGTTTTTATTAAATCCATACCACCAAAAACATCTTCTGGTCCATCACCACCACCTTCTGCTTTAATTAATTCTAAAAAATCAACAAATTCTTTCGTTGATTTTGTTAATGGTAATAATGATGTTTTTGTGTTACCTTGATCAAAATCGGTATATCTAATAAAACCAAAAGTCATATCAAGGTAGGAATATTTTAATTTTAGATTTTCGTGAAGATTTACAATATCTTTTTTAATTTGTTCAATATATAGATCCATTGAACCTGTACAGTCTAAAATAAATAATAAGTCAACGCACTCTGAAGCCCTAATTGCTCTAAAAGTTAAATCAATTTCTTTTTTTCTTATTTCAGTTCTTTCTTCCCTAGTTAATGTTTTTTTAGTTTTTGAATCTTTGATTGTTGTGCCACCATAAACTGCTCTCATTGCACTTTCATCTGAAAAACCACTACATGACGATTCTTTTGAAATGTATGAGCTCAACATTGAGCCTGTTAATGAATCCATATCTGAAACATTTACTTTTTCTTTGGTTATTGATTTTGATGACGATAAAGTTGCCGATAATTTATAAACAGATTCCATTATAATAATAATAATAACAGAATAAAAATATATATAATTATATATATTTCTTAAAAAATGATTAAAAAAAAATTAAAAAATATGATATTTATATTTTAAATACAAAATATAAAAAAAAAAATTTTTTTATTATATCTTGGAGTTTTAGGTTTGTAGAAAAAAGATCTTTTCATAAAATTTTTTTAAAAAAAATTTTTTTTTATGATGGAAAATGAAGTGATTTAAGCTTAGTTTTTTGTGAAAGTCAAAATAAAAATCAAATTGAAAATTCTTTATCTAGATCTTTGGTCTAAGTTTAGTATCCTAGGAATTAAAAAAAAAATTAAGTATAAACAAAATTTGTATATTTAAATATTAAAATTGAAAAAGATAATAATAATTTGTTTCATTATATAGAAATTAACTGATAACTATTTAAAAATTTTATTTTTTACAATATAAATCTCTTTTTTTTAAATTTTATTGTTAAAGCCAACCAAGTCGGCGCAAATTTGGAATAACAAAAAAGAACTACCAAATTAAATTTTAGGAAAATAATGAATATCATCGAATAAATTTTGAAATAGAGAAGCTGTTATTATGATTTATCTATTCCCAATTCATCATTTCTAGAAGATTGTCAAATGCAATGAAAAAACTCTACCAAAATGCAAAAATTTAATTTAAAAATGCCTGGTGAACCTAAATTAGTTGAACCAAATTTTAATAGATCTCGGGAATGAATAGCTGGATCAGTTAAAAGGAAACTTGGTTTTCCATCTTTTTGGTGAGTTTTAACTCCTTGGATATCAACAACAATTGCATTACCTTTTGAAATATGATGGGTCCAGTGTGAAAAAGTTTGAGTAATTTCTGAAAATTCATCACCACTTTTGGTATAACCATTATTACAATTGAATTTTTCATATGTACCTTCAATAAATGGTTCTACAGAAAGATATACAGGGTTTTCAGAATTTCCAACTTGTAAAACCTTTGCAAAAGCAAATTTAAAATCATCAGATTTTCTTAATGAATTAAATTCCAATGCAAATTTTGATGCAACAATTTGACATTCCATTGATTCAAAATATCTTTTTTTTGAATTTTCCCTAATTCCAGAGTATTTAGATTGTTTTAAAACAATTTTTCTCCCAAGTTCATCAATTCCGTAATAAGCTAAACGGGAGGCACCCTCAGAAAATGGGTGATCTGACATTTTGATTGAAACCATTGTTTCATTAATTGCCATTTCAAAAGAACTTGATAAACAAGCTAAAATATCAGAAGGAAATTTAGCTTTAGTTTCTAGCATTGAAACTAATGTTAATTTTGTATAATCGGGTTCTTCTTTTACAATAGTGTATTTTCTTATTTTATCATCTTCACCATGTTTTAAATACATTGCAGTTAATTTTGACTTTCCAATTGAAATTGACCTTTCAACCAATTTAAAAATTCTTTCACTTATAGTTGAAGTATCTTTTGAATCGAATGAACTTATTTGTCTTTGATTCTCTGAAATTTCTCTAATTCTTTTATCAAAAATATCAATCATTTTACCTGTACTTGACAAATCAACATGGCCAAAATAATAGTTTAAATTTAATTTATTAATTTGTTCCAATAAAGAATCTAAAGAAATTCCATTTGGATCCCCTTTTGGATGATTATCTTTAAAACCATGGTATTCTGAACCATGACATGGTGCATCGGCAATATGGATAACTACTCTGGTACTATTTAGTCTCCATTGAACTGTTTTTATTAAATCCATTCCACCAAAAACATCTTCTGGTCCATCACCACCACCTTCTGCTTTAATTAACTCTAAAAAATCAACAAATTCTTTTGTTGATTTTGTTAATTGTAAAATTGATGTTCTTGTATCACCAAGGTCAAAATCGGTATATCTAATAAAACCAAATGACATATCAAGATTAGAATATTTTATTTTTAGATTTTCATGAAGATTTACAATATCTTTTTTAATTTGTTCAATATATCGACCCATTGAACCTGTACAGTCTAAAATAAATTGGATCCCAGCCATATTTGTTGTGATCTTGATTTTGATGATCTCTGGTACAAAATATATTTCAAACTTGGTTATATATTTCTTGCAGTGGTGTGGATTGAACCTTGTTGTGTTTTTTAAAATTAGTAATTGGGTTGAATATTTTCTTTATAAATAAAATGCTTTGCTTAAATCACCTAAAACAGAATCAGTTGAAACATCCTTTCCCTAACGCTTGAATTTTTTGGGCCTTTATTTTCTCTGATTTTCATAAGGATTGTAATTCTATAGGTGATAAATCTTTTTATTACTATAATATTCATTAACCAAACCTCAATAGGTAAATAAAGTCAATAAATTTATAGTAATACTTTTTAAAGATTTAGAAGTCTTTATTACTATGCCCATAAAAATAATCCATCTCCAATGCCTGATTACAATGACATTTAAAAATACCTATGTCATATTCCTTAATAAAAAAATTTTTTTAACAATGATTTACTTCTTAAAAATTGATAATGCTATGCGGGCAATTGGGAATATAATTAATGTAAAAAAAGTAGAAATATTTCTTAATCATACATATAAAATTTGAAAAAAAAAAAAAAATTTATAAAAATCCTAATTTTTTTAATATCCTTGGCATCAATATTTTTTAATACTATAAAATTTTACAAATATTTTAATGTAATATTTATTTAAATTGTGTGAATTTAGAAAAGAATTATAATAAAAAATTTGATTAAAAAATAATTTTTTAAATTTAAAAAAACTTTTTTTTATTTTTAAATTTTTAAATTTTTTTTTTTATTTTTATTTTTCTTGTTTGCAATTGTATTTTTTGTTATTATTCATATGTTGTATTTTTAAATAAAGAATTTTTTCAGATTGTATATTATAGATTGTATTATATTTTAAAAAAAAAAAAAAAAAATTTATAAAAAAAAATTAAATAAAAAATAAAAAAATAATCAAATAAATCAAATAAATCAATAAATATGGATAATACAGAACATAGACCAATTGTAACCAGTGATGAAGCGTATGCAATTATTAGAGCTATATTATGTCTTTACTCTCCAAATAAATCACCAGAAATGCAATGTAATACTAATGAAAAAAAAATGGGACCAATTATAAAAAAGGCATTTGGATTATCGAATGAACAATATAACGAAATCAGTGAAAAAATATTAGAATATTCATCAGAAGAGGTTACAGCATCAGAACTAAGACTTAGATATGAATGGAGAGATAATCATCCAATTTATAAATCAAAAGCATTCAAAGACCCACAAGGAATTGAAAAATGGCAAAAAAAAGAATTACAGGATATCAAAATGCTTTTAAGAGACCCATCAGATTTGGATTTAAATTCAAAACTACAAAAAAAGAATGGTGCCAATCATAACAATAACAATAATAATAGTAATAATAGTGAAAAATTAAAACCATCCATTCAAGAAATATTTGGTTGTACTTTAAAAAAACATACTCTAGACAAATCAAATAGTGGCAAAGATAATATACATACTGGATACAAGATTTTAGTGAATGCCTTCATTCAATATAGCTCTCAAGAAGTTTATAGAGAAGATAGATATCAACCGCTCAAAGCCTCTTTACTTAAAAAGGATTTATTTAATTTAGGTTTACTACCTGAATTCTCTTGGGTATTAAATGAATATTCGATTTTATATGGTATAAGAGATTTCTATCGTTATTTAGTGTAATTTATTATATTTTAAAATCATTAAAGTATATTAAATTCAATACTAACGACTTTAATTTATATATTTTTAGAATTTTTGAAGTTTTAACCACCAGATTTGACGATAACTTGGATCAATTAACTTTATTATTGGATTGTCTTCAAAAACTACAAGAAATAAAAAAGAATGGTGATTGTGAAAATAATTTTATTACTCAAGATGAAGATAGTCTGTTCAATCAAATCTCATCACATTTATTTAATAACTTAGTGGCAAGAATTGGGAACTATAGGTTATGTTTTTCACCAAACTCAAAAGAGAAACTACCACCACCATTAACAAGAGAATATGAACGTGTTATTAAATCACAACCAATCACACATGCTTTAAATTTAATGAAAATAATTATCACAGAAGTATTCCCAGATATTGTATATCACCAAGTCGTAATAAAAGCAATCACAGAATCCAACGAAAAAGAATTTATTAGATTATTGGAACATTTCGAATCAAATTTAACAACTAAAAATATTGTGAATGTAAATGATTATAATAAAGTAAGTATGATTTATTAATTATTATTCACCTAATTTATAGGGTATAATTATATTAATGTTATTTTTTTATTTACAAAGATTAACCTTTTGTCAAAAGTTATTGACTTTATCATTACAAAATGGTTTGATTTAGAAATGTATTATTTTAATGCAGCATTTACACCAGTTTTAAAAGAGTCAAAGGAAAAGAGTCAAAGTAGTAAGAACCCAGAAAAACTTCATTTAGAATTAGTGTTTGATACTTTCTCAAATTTTATAAATAAATCAGTAAACGATATCTATCACATATTTTCAAAAGCAGAACACACCGTCATAGTAAGCAATAGTAAATTAGAACCATCACCATGGATTACCTGTCTCTTTACAGAATTAGTACCACTCTTAATAAAATATAATGATATAGTGTATGGTGTATTTAAAAAAAGACCAATTCCGCTAGAAGGTGACATCTCTTTTCTTACCGGTCAATTCATATTAAATAGGGTTACAATTTTAAATAACAACATTAAAAATCTAATTAAAAAACAACAATGGCGTGCAAACGGAAAAGGATTATTCCATACATCATCACCAATTGATTTGTTTGAATTTATTAACCAATGCTACAACCATATTCAACAATTAGAAGTTAAATTATCAATTCCATCGAATCCAATGACAAGGTCTTTTGGTTTAGTAAGTATACTATTTAATATTAAAATTTATAATTATACAAATAGTAAGTAAAATTAACAATTTTATATAAAGAATTTAGGTGATACATTTATATTTTATGTTAAAGGTATTAGAAACAAAATTTTAGAAGATATTCCAAATGATCAATCAAAATTAGTATGCTCTATAATTGATAGATCAATTTCAAACAAAATCACATCAAAACAACTATTTTTGCAGTTTGTAGAGGAAGTTAAATTACCAAAAATAAATAATAATATAACAGAAACTATGTGTTATCAAATTAACGATATTGAACATAGCCGTATCTTGCTCTCTGATTTCGATCAACAATATGATGGTATTTTCAAGGACTCTTTAAACGAAATGTATATTACTTTAAAAGACCACTGGAACTGTTTATTAACATATTATGTATTCAAGGTAATTATTTTATATAGGGTATATCTATTTATATTATAGTTTGATACTAATTCATATTATTTATTTAAAACATCAATAGTTAAATTGCTATATTAAACCCATTATTCAAAGCATTTCTTTATCTTTAAATGAAAACTCAACAATAATTTCAACAAAAGAATTAACGCAGTTTATTGAAAATAATTTAGCAATGTCAAATCAAAAGCTTCAAGGTAATTTATTCCCAGTTTTTCTAAAGAGATTATTTGATGCAATAGTTTTAGACATGATTGAAATTATATTACCACTCAAAAGGAATTATATTAAAGCCATCAATGCAAGAGCACTAAGCAATTTTAAAGGTTTAATGATAGAGCTTACCAAAGTATTTCATGGAGAGGGTGATAAAACAAGCAGTTACTTTGACCTAACCTTAATAGAATACAATAAAATTAAAACTATTATGGAACTTTTTAGCTTTAGTGATGAACAATTGGTTGAATTCCACGAGAATTTAAATAAAGCACACTCAACTCCAAATGCTGACTCTAAAAACAATGACAACTATCAAAACCATAATAACGTTTTAAAAGAATGTGCAACAATTATGTCCTATCAAAGAAATGAAAGTAAATTAATCGAAAAATATTTAACAAAACTAAAATTAGATTAAAAAATAAATAAATAAATAAATAAATAAATATTTTTTAAACTTTATTTTCTATAAATTAACCACACTTAAAATATAAATTTTGATATTGTCGAAAATTAAAATAGATTCGAAAAGGGAATATATATTTATCTTATTATAGAATAAAAAAATAAAAAAATAGCAACAATATTATGAAAACATCAAAAATATTTTTTTAATAATTAAAAAAGATATTTAATAGAAAAAAAATACCCAATATATAATTATTAAAGAAATTTCTTACTCTAATGATTTGTTATGAATAATAAAAATGAAGATTTGGGAAATTAAAAATATAAACTTAACTAAATTGTTTTTTTTTTTTTTTTTAGAAATATTAAATATATTATACCCTCAAAGGTTAAATATATTATTTTTATTTTATTTATTTTTTTAATATTTGTTTTATTATTATTATTTTTTTTTTAATTTTCTAAGTTTTTTTTTTTTTTTTTTTGGTTTATATAGTTTGATTGTTATTATTTACTTTTTTATTATTACAAAATTTATACACAATATTTATTATTTATATAGGAAGAGGAAAAAAGATTAGAAAAAAAAAAAACACATTTATATATTATTTTATAGTATTAATTTCGATCATATAAAGGAAAAGGACTGATTATTTAAAAATGAATGAAAAAATGGATTATATATTATTATTGAAATTATAGACAAATGATTATTCATCATCAATATATAATTCATCATCATCTTCATCGCTAATGGCTTTAAAAGAAGTTACCGATCTTGATAATGGTGTGATGGTGGTAGTTACAGAATGAGATCTAACTTTTGATGAAGAGTTTGATAATATAGGAGATGATGGAGTCAATTTACCAGTTGAAGAACCAAGAACAACCAAATTTAATTTTGGACTATTATTTACACTAGAGTATTCTGAAGAGGAATTTCTCTTTTTACGTACCTCGAGATCCATTTGAACACTTTCTAAATTTGGTGAAGAGGCTAATTGTGAATGTGGGAACTCTAAAGCTGAAAGAGATCTCTTTCTACCATTTATATTAAATTCTTCAGAGAAAAGTCTTTGTTTTGTTGGAGAAGAAAGCATTAATGGTGAGGTAAGAGCAGGAATTAAACTATTGCTTGAGGCTGATGGTGACATTGGGGTGAGATTTAATGATGGTGATGAGGAAGCTGATGTAGAGTTCTTTCTTGTACCTTTTTGTGGGAGAATCCATGGATCAGTATTTTGTTTTAATCTCCAGAAACCATTTTGTTTATATTTATCCATACCAGATTCAAAGATATTCTTAGAATGGCTAAGCATATCTTGAATTTGTTTATGCCAGTTATCAGATTTCTTTTTATTGAGGCATAATACATCCCAGTGGCCTGTCATAAAGTCATAGACGTCACTCTTTAAAGAGAAGAACTCTTTTTCTTTCATTTCGTTATGAAGAGTAAAAAAGACAACACGCATAATACTAGCCCAAGTTGGTGATTTTATTAATACCTCTGGCTGGCCTCTTGAACAAAGAAGACAATCGTTTAATACACAATGAACATTTTGGAAAAGAGCAGAGTTGTTGTTACTTCCAATTGATAAACTGATTGGAGATAATGAATTATTGAGATTTGGTGAACTAATATTACAATTTTGTACAAAAGCATTTTGAAGAGAAACACTTGGTGATGATGATAACAAGTTTGTATAACTTGATGATGGCGATAATTGATATTGATTTTGAACTTTATTTTTATTAAAAGTTGGTGGTGATGAAGGAACCGAATGAGATGGAGATGATGATAGTGATTGGAAAGCAGTTTCAGAGGAGCTACCTAATAAGCTTGTTGCATTGGTTGTGTTGTTATTAGTACTATTAGCACTATTTATACTTTCACCAATTGAAAATGAAAGTGGTGATGATGGAATTAATGAGTTTTTAGATAAACCAGAAAAAATGGTTGGAATTGGTGGTAATGGTGATTCATTATCATTATTATTGTTGTTGCTATTGGTATTATTATTATGACGATTAGTGTTACAGTTATTATTATTTGGTACCCCGCTAGTAGAATTATTTAATGATGGTAAATAACTTCTATTTGGTGACGATGGAACAAAATCAAAAGTTGGATCGTGGATACCAATAGATGGGGATGAACAAGATAAAGATCTAAAAGTACGACCACCAAGAATTGGAGTAGTTTGGGCACTAGTTGAGGCAAATATAGATGATGTTTGCTCACAGCTATTCTTAAAATTAAATAAAATTTGGAGAGCTACCTCTTCTTTATTATCTTCCATTGTTTTTTATAAAAAAAAAAAAAGTTTATCTATAATATTTTTTTAATGTTAGTTTAATTAATTTTTTTTATATATAGATTTATTTTATTAATAAAACTAAAAAAAAGTTGGACGATTTTATTTTTTAAAAAAAAAAAAAATATATTTTTTAGGTTTGATTGAAAAAAAATTTTAAAAAATAAAATTTTTTAATTTAAAATTTAATTAAAAAAAAAAAAAGAAAAAAAAATAAAAAATAACAACCAATAGGATTATTTTGATTACAAACAAATAAAAAAAGTTGATAAGTGTTAACTGGATTTAATCATTGTTTTTTAAATAAAAAAAAAATAAATAAAAAAAAAAAAAAAAAAAGTTTATATTTTAAGTAAATAAATGAGTTTAATATATTTACAATGAATTGATAAAACCAAAATAAATTTATAATTATAAATTTTTATTTATTATTATTTTTTATTTATTATTTTTTATTTATTGAAAAAAAAATAAAATTATAAAATTAAAAAAAAAAGATTAAATAACATAGAAATTTTTAATGACGATATTATTGATGATAATAGTGGTGATGATGTATATAAGATAAAATATTAAATTATAGTATCTGGATAATACTTTTTGTATTTATTAATAAAACTGATAGTGTATAAATAACAATATGTATATCTATATTTTACTTGCAAAATATTTTATTTTATTTAAATTTTTTTTTAATCCAAACAAATAATATATATATTTTAAATTGAAAAAAAAAAAAAAAAACTAATATAAAATACAAAATTAATTTAATAGATATATAAAAAAAAAAAAAAAAGGAATAAAATAAAAAAAATTTTTTTTTTTAAAAAACCCATTTTAAAAAAAAAAAAAAAAAAAATCCCCCCCCCCCAATTAAAAAAAAAAAAAAGTTTTTTTTTTAACGAATAATAGGGCGAAATTAAGGGTGGTGTGAGTATGAATAAAACGAGGGGGTTTGCCTATTTATTATTAATATTGTTATTGATAATAACAATATTAATACTTTGAATCAAAAAAAAAAAAATATTAAAAAAAAAAAAAAAAAAAAAAAAATATTATAAAAAAAATATATTAAAAAAGACCAATTAAGGCAGGCAAATCATTTACTCTGTAAAAGTTAAATTTCTTTTGTTTTCACTTTAGCTTGGGTAATGCTTGGAGTGTTTTTTTTTTGTTGATTAAACGAGTGGGGGTTATTTTTTTTTAGTTGTGTGAGGGGTATATATTATTAATAACGAGAGTGGTAGTGGGGGTAGTGGTGACTTATTGGTAACAAATGACGGAGGTTATTGTTAATTTTTTTTAATATATTATTACCCTTTGTTTTATTATCGCACTGAGGAGGTATGTGGGCAAATTATTGACAAAATAAAAGGAGGTTTTTTTTTGTTTATTTTATGATATATTCAACAGCTACACTCCTTTCTATTATATTAAAAAAACCCACCACATGACACCCATTTAAAAAATAAAATAAAAAAAAAATAAAAAAAAAATAGGGGTGTGTGGGAAACAATAAAAAACTTTTTAGCAATTTTGTATGTAAATGAGTGTTTTGTGTATGTGTGAGGTGAAAATGTTATTTTGTGTGGGTGTGAGTGTGGGTTTGAATATATATTTATTTTAATAAAATTGTTTTTTATTGTATATAAATAAACTTGAGTGAGGTCGCCCAAGTGGTATTTAATGTGAGAAGATTATTAAATTGTATATAAATAGGTATATTCACACATACACACAAAATCTTTTAGGTTATAAATACATTTGAAGACATGCATAAGTTACCTAAGAGATTTCAGTAGATTTGATATTTTAAAATAATATTAAATACAAATCGAAGATGTGAAAAAAAAAAAGAAAGATTGGAATGAAAATAAAAAACCGTTTTTTCAAATACAAATTTACTAATTATTATTATTATTATTATTAATATTATTATTATTATAAAAACGATTTTTTTATTATTGAATTGAAAAAACAAAATATCAATGATTTTTATAACAACAATATATTACTTGAAATAAAAAAAATATTAAATTTAATTTTTACCTACCTAAAGATTTTAAAATGATACAGAATTGTTTGTACAAAAACTTATTTTTACAAGGTATTTATTAATATTATTTAATAAATTTGATTATTGATTGAATATTGAATATTGATATATAGTTTGATGATTATTAAACCTATTTTTTTTATATTATT